ATCTTGTTTTTCTAAAAGCAAGCCCATTTTTTCCTCCCCACTGATACACAGACTTAAGGACTTATGAACTGTGTGTGCCCCTGCTGGCTCTTTCCAGCCAGTTTATCAGTATGTTTTTAGGAAAGCAGCTTGAAGGTAAACCGTCCGATTAAGCAGATATACATTTAAGAGACCATCTGTCCTGCAACTAGATTCAGTCTGTAATGTAATTTTAACCCTGAAAGCCACACAGACAAAGTATCAAGAGTGGAAGGTTTTTTTTTTTTTTTTTTTTTTTTTGCCTTAAGATGATAAACTTTTTTTTATATCATTTTTACCCATCTAAAGCTCGAGGGGAATGATAGTTCAAAATTGCAGATGGATAATAGTTGATGTTGGAAGAGTCACCAAATTTATCAGATAGCTTGTGTCTCTGGAACTACTGCAAGCTTATTCACATGTGGTTTTATTTTTATTTTGTATTTAATGGTAACACCACAATTGAATAATTGTGTTTCTTTGACATTAGATCACATGGATTTTCAAGTCGAATGCTACAAAAAAAAAATCATGTGCAAATGATGCAGAAAAAGAGAACATTTTAACCTTTTATGCCCTAAATATTAGTCAATATAAGTCATCCACTTAGGAAAAAAAACAATAATATATGTATATACTTTTATTCAAAACTACTTGCACTACTAAACTACTACAACTACAAAACCACATATCACAGGACATTTAAAAATAACATTTCCCAAAAGTCTGAGAATTGTTCAGCAGTTTTTTGTTTTTTTTTCTTGTTTTGCTAAAATGTGTATCAGCTGTGCTGCCCCTCCCCTTTTGTCTTGGAGATAGTCCATCCTCACCATTTGGCTGGTGTGCAGGACTCATCGATCAATGTAGCACACCTGGGGTGTGCATACAATTAAAGCACTTCGAAGGTATGCACAGCAGACATCCATTCATGGTTTTCGCTGTTGTTGTGTAATGATAAATTACTCCTAACCTGGCTCAGTTCAAGTTAGTTTCTGCACACATCTATGATTAGGAATTGTCTGAAGCCTACTAAGTTATACTCTGTGAGAGTCTAAGTTGTTTTTTATTATGTGCATCAGTTAATCATAGTCTTCTTTAAGCTGTACAGTCCAGGTGTGGATGTTAAAACATGATGTTTTCCAAAGAAGCAATTGATTAGATTAGCATGTCTGAAAAATAGTGGTATTTACAGATTTTTCCATAGCAGAATATAGATATGTTTGCTTGGATCAAACTTAGAAATTGTGCTTGATACACAGTTTCTAAATCTGCTTCAAGATTGAGAAATTCAATCTGATCCCTAGCTAAATTAACCTCTGTATTATGGTTTCTTAAAGCACTTTTTTTTTTTTCATTTTAAAATCTGAATGAATAAACTTGTTTGAAAGCTCTCGCTGTGCAGTAAATGCATACAGCAGCTAAAACTGCAAAGAAGTTGTGTATAGACAATTTTAAGTCTTAAATTTTCCCTAATGTGAATTTTGAAAAATGATCGGTCTTGGGGAAATCAGAAAAATGTTTCAGAAAAGTAAAAGGAAACAAATGTAATTTTCACCAGGAGTTTTAACTCTGGGAAATGCTATAGTTAAGCAGGGGCTTTACACAGTGATCCACATGGTGTATGGCTTTATGAGAGGGCAGATGGTCCCACTCAAGCAGGAAGTGATTGACATAATGACATGGCTGACCATGGAAGGTGGGTGTATGTGTGTAATGAATGAGCATATGTGTGACTGATTATAAAAAAAAAAAAATCCTTTAAGTATATTCTAATATGTTTTTACTATCTCTGTTTCTGAGGTGTTGCTTGTCATCATGTTTATAAACAATATTCTTGAAGGAAATTATTTTAATTTACTCTGAAAATGTTCGCTCTGTCACCTTTTTAAAATAAAACTAATAAACTAAACTAAAATGTTTTAAATTTGTGAGTGAACAGTCGTACAAAATCAGAAGCTGATCATTTTTGGGGTTTTTTCAATAGCTTTTTTTGCAGTCAGTGTTACTTGAACTGCAACTCTTTTCTGACCAGTCATATATAAAATTGCCAACTATTTATTCATAGCCTAGCACCTCTGTGTGGATATTACAGAAAATATTGAGTCACACTGTAACAAGTGTTCTTCTTGCTTGCAGTGGTTGAGTACATGCAACCAAACGGAATTTTTTTTTTGTTGGTTTCCTCTTCTGAGAAAAAAAAAATGCCATTGTTTCCGAGATCTGTAAATGAAACCAAAAACTTAAGTGTCTGCTTGTTACTTTGGAATGTAAATTGTTGACTTTATGTTAATTGTTGTCGGTAAGTTGATCAGTTTTGATCGGAAGGCATCTTTTACTTTGTTTTCCTTATCCATCTCTTTGAACTAGTTCTGTCTTGTAAGTGAATCACCTTTCTGAGTACCAAGGAGAAGCCCAATAGAGCATGAGCCTCATATAGTATTGGCTATTTTGCTTGCTTGCTTTAGGTTTATTTCAATGGACACACACAAAGGTGATGTGGCAAAATGTTAGAAAGAAAGGGGAAGATAAGAATAGAGGAGCAAAAAACAATAAAAGAAATGCAAGGACATTTTCCTAGAAAAGTATTTCTTCTACTGTAGAATAGGACAAAAACCAAATAGCTATACTATGTTTTTGTTTTGTTCTGCTTTGAAACCTGAACCTTCCTCTTATAAAACTCACTGTATCAAGTTCATTAACCCCACTAAATGGTGTATGTTTCAGTTAGTAAGGGAGGAAGGGAGAAAAATATTTTTTTATAAGCTGTAATCTGAAAGCAACTTCTAAAGTTGCTCTTGTGACTTGTAGTCTTTGGTTTCTTCAATTATCCTGGGCACACAACCAGACCCACCCAGATGCCTTAAATTCTGTTTTGAGAGCCTTTCAAAGTTTTGTATATTTGTGCAAAAGAAGTTGCACAGTCAAAAATATGACACAATGACCTTTCAACTTGTTAAATAACTGAGTAAAGTGTGATTTACTCAAGGTGAATGATGGAAAGTTACTAGAGGATACATTTAGTTTGAGTTGTCAGACCACATAGAATACACTTTTAATTACAGAGGTTGAGTTTCCAGGTTTCTTACATTGTGTAATGGGGACTTTGTTGTTTCATAAATAGTATTTAGGAGAACTGTTAAGAAAATGAAGCTTGAATTGTTCAGAGCGGTGCTCAGAGTGCACAGGGATCTGATGTCCTATTTGCCTCAGAAAAACAATAGTACCCCCTTATTTATTTATTTTTTTTAATATGAAAATAACTGTTTGCCATCCAGAGGTTGTAGGCCTTCTTGCTCCTTCTAGCATTTCAAGAAAATTAGATGTTATCTGTGATGATGATGTAGCTGGAGACCACAAACTACTGTAGACATGAAGTCAAAGCTAATTGCATTAGCCTGTTTATATTAAAAAGACAAAAAAAAAAACCTAATCTGTGAGTTGCGAAATTGTTGTGTGTTTTATTGCAGTTGAGCTTGTTCTAACCTTCCTGCATTTTCTCCACTGAAATTTTAATTATAAAATGTAAAGTTACACCCAAATAACTTGACTAACAAATGTTATTAAATAAACTTAAAGAAAAATATTAAAATGATCAGGTTGTTTTCAGAAGTATTATTCTTCTCAGATTTGCCCATATGGAAGAAGGTTTAAAAACAAGGTCACTTTTATTTAAAACAAAATGTTTTCTCTTTCAGATTTTCCCTTCATTTAGCAGAATCTGTCTTCCAGACTACTCCAAACATTTTCTTTTTCTGCACTGAGCACACAGCATGAAGTCACCACTGAGGACATAATCGCCTCATGGCATTAGTATTGTTCTGTCACACCTAGTATCATGAGACCAACAAGTTTCTTTAGTTTTCATGAAGAACGGGTTCTTCCATGTTTCAGAAGGTTTTGGCTAGTCTGAAGCTGTCATAAGATTCATTTTTGATTTGCATACAATGTGCTTTGGTGCAGTTTTTTTTTTTTTTTTTTTTTTTTTTGTCCAAGACAAGTTGAGCAGCTTAAAGCTGCTCCACTCAAAAAGTGTTACCCAGCCAGATCGTTAACATTCAGTTTTGAGAGCCTTTTAAAGATTTTTATTGGACTATCTTACTGTCCTGAAGTTCCCATTATAATTGAATGGAAGAGCTCTGGTTTTATCAATACGCAAGAGTCATGATTTACCATCTGTACCTTTGTATGCAAGACTGTCCATTGCTGAAAAATCAGAGGCTTTATCAATTGAGAATTTGAAGACTTTATGAATCGTTGTACTAAAAATCCTGCTACAAGCTAAAAACACTGCCTATGATCCTGCTCTGAATCAGAATAAAAACTCTTATCTTCTGAATAAAAATGCACAGTTCCACAGTTTTAATAAGGTTAAACTGAGAAATGCTTTTATACCTCAGTCTATCCTGGTGCTAAACATGTGGAATGTTGTCCTCTGTTCATCTTGAAAATGCTTTTGACTCTGTTTATATGTCTGTCGACAACAATAATGTGATGCAAGAATTTTTTTTTTAAAGAAACTGGCTGCACAGTAGTTAGTTTAGTTTAGAGTATGTATAAGCACACCATGCTTTAGATCTTGTATTTAAAAATAAATCAATTTACCTCCTCCTATTCTTATTTATTATTTAACACTGGAATGTTGTAAACTGAGTTCTAAAGTATTTAGTTGATTGAAATTAAATGGACCATTTTACATGTCGAGTTTGTAAAGTAAGTTGAGTGTTTTGAGCTTTGGAAAACGTTCACTATGCTTGTTTACTCTGTTGGCCAGAATTCTTTCTCTGCGTTCCTGCAAAGCCACAGAAGCCAATAAAGTGACTTGAGACGACTGTTGCGCACTCACTGACGATGACGGCTACCTAATCCACCTGCAGTAAATTTTAATGCGCGCGCACGGCTCCTTCCCAGCCTCGTCACAGAGGCTCCCGTCGCTTGGTATTTAAATAGCGCCCCTGCGCGCAGAGAGCCAAAAGCATGCCTCGTCTCTAGAGAGGCAGGGCACGACTTGGAGACGCTTTGGTTCAGAGAGAGAGAGAGAGAGAACTGTGCAGCCGCTGCTGAAGCAGAGCGCAGGAGTTTTATCCCAACTTCACTGCTGCAGGTCGTTGAGACACAGCGACCTTGTTCTCAGGGGTAAGTTCCTGCTGCTGAAATATCTCAGCCCGCTGTCGCTGTTTCTCTCCTCCAGTGTCCGTGTTTATCTAAGCTGCGCATTCCGCTGTTATATGACGATGCTGATCATGAGGAGTGATGAAAGTAATCTAGAAATGATATAAACGATGCAAATTGACAGCCTTTTGCACATTTGTGTGGTTTTTCAAATTCTGCAAAAGTGTCTTCACTTGTTGCTGATGAAAATGACACTAGATGTGCGATTGATGGGGTGAATCCTGTTTGTTTTTCTTCCTCTTATGCAAGAAAGGACGGCACTGAAAACCAAACATTAAAAAAATATATTTTGACGTTTTATTTAGGTGAAAAATGATTTGTGAAAAATTTAATCCATTTGGACATTTATCTATGTGCTCATGAGTAATTGTTGTCGGTAACAATATGAAGTGTGTATATATATATATATATATATATATATATATATATATATATATATATATATTATTATATTTGCATAAAATTCAAGGAGTTATTTTACGCGTGAGACATTCGACAAAAATGGATTTCTGAAACCAAAAGTTCACATTTGAAACTTTGCATTGTTCATTCCGTTGCTGTCTTAACATGAACCCAAAACAACTTGCCCCTTTTCATGTATGCTCGAATTAAACAAAAATGCTAGAAATTATGCAGAACGGCCTTTGATCCCCGTTTAACTTGTTAAATTCATATCCCTTCTATGAATCAATTAGAAGAAAAAAAAAACCCCGCTAATTAATTCACTTTTTTTTTCACGTTCTGCAATGTGCGACCATAACATTAGATGTTGAAAGCACATATTCACACATCGACTGACAGAATTCAGTTCAGGGGAAACGGAGAATAGTTGACCTTGTGGCTCCAGAAGGAGCTGGCCGGCACTCCTTTAAAAAAATGTTATAGAAAACTGGTATTTGCTTCTATTCATGAATTCTCAATCTATGAAAGCAAATAAATGCCCTGATTTGGAAGGAAATGAAATGATTTCCAGTTGCTATGAAACCAATGAGAAATTAACATAACAGACGACTTTGGGTTGTCGTCTGTACTCATAATGTTGGTGAGTGTAGCAATTAAATAATTTGTGACTCCATATTTGTGCGCCTTGTCAGTTGTCAGAAGCTATGTAGTCCTTAATTAATATTTGCTTGCTATTGTAATGGGGTTCTTTTTTTTAATACCTTTGTAGTCATACCCTTCCGGACACAGCAATATTCCCAGAAAAGTCCCTCATCCCGATATTCAGAGCACATTCACCTTTTCCATTTCCTCATCGTCTCTGGTTATTTCTTATCTCAGTGGGGGGTAAGCTACACATATGGAGAATTAAAGGGCCGCCAGATTAAGTTATTCCAGCCAGAATCAAATCTGAGTTCACAGTATTCATTATAAATGAGTGCCACTTCCACCCCACCCCCCACTCTGAAGCCATGAACTGAGGACACCGCTCTTTGATCTGTGGTTGTCTAAAAGTGCGACTTGTCTACATGAATATACTGGTGTGTACAGAACTTTTTGTATGACAAGCATGTGGGGGAAAAAACGTCAGAACCAACTTTACTGAGAATGTTTGTGGCACATCTGCAATATCTGAAAGTGCGGCGTGAGAACGGAATACTGCTGGAAAGGCTGTACTCTGACCTTGGTGCTGAATTATTCCCGCTGCGCGCACAGTGCCTGCCCTCCATGCGCCGACAGCCCGTGCAGAGCGGTGGCTCTCCTGCTTCTCTGACACGCGGCACATTCCTTGCACGCCACCCACGCGGTGAGATGCGAGATTTTCAATGAAAAAACGCAACTCGCTCAAGTGGCTTTGCATTAAAAAGAAGAAAGAAAAGAACAAACAAGGGCGATAGAGCTGAATATGCAGTTAATTTCCAATACACAATGTAATCCTTTAATATTTTACTTTAGGTATTTACAAAACAGGCGCTGTTGAAACGTTTATCCAAGTCTGCTGAATTCATGTCATTGTCACTGGATGCACAACAATTAAAGTCCAGATTGACTTTTTATTCAAACATTTTCAATAGTTTTAAATGGAAACGTTTACTGTAGTACAGTTGATTTTTAATGTGACCCATAAAATTATTAGATCGCTTATGAAAATGTCATTTGTTGTCTCCATTGTTTTGTGTTTTTTTGTTTTTGTTTTTTTGTTTTTTTCTGCTGCTTGTGCAGATGCAGAGCTAGCTGAATCTGAAAATCCACTACAAGAATTCTGGTGTTACTTGTGCACATCTGATCTTGGAAGCCAAAAGTGAATGTAAATGTCTGTTAAGCTGTTGTGACTTAGGGGGATTCGTCTTACAATTCCTGTGGACAGAGGGCAGCAACGCTTTCAAATAAGGAACAGGAAAAAAACAGCAGCTACCTTCCTTCCTACTTCATTCAAATCTTTTTTTCAAGTTTGTTTTCAGTACAAACGATCTTTTTCTAAACATGTGGAAAAAGACCAAAAAGATTACGGCTCAATCTGATGATTTGCACAAACATTTATTGCTTCTTCATTTTATTATGTTTTCAAACTAATTGGCAAACTTTCCTGTAATTTTCTTTGGACAATTGTTTAGACATAAAGTTTTGGTAAAAAGTAATCAGGGATATTTGCTGGGGCATTGCAGCATATTGGAGCAACGTCACAATAAAATTGACACAGTTCAACATATGATTTGAATGTTGCATTATTGATACTGACCTGATGAATAAGATGGGGGTTTTGTGTTTTCCTCAATTCAGAGAAAAAAAAAAAAGATAAAAGATCTGTTGTTACTATGGTCTGAGCAGTGTGGATCTATACAGTGTGTGCAGGCTACACATCAATTTAAAAATGAATTGATTTTTCACATTTAGCATACTAAATGAGCATACTAGAGAAACAAATATGTAACATACTTATGTGGAGGTTAGGTCAGTTGAGAGGCTCGTTTACGATTCTAAAAGACGAGCCTCACCTGCATTGCAGCCCTCATAAACAGGATTCAAATTTAAAGTGCTTTTCAGAAAACAAAGGAAGAGAGGAAAGGAAAATTATAATAAAATGAAAATTAACAAAATGGAACCTTTTAGTTACCAGGAAAACAGAAGCTTAGCTGCACTCATTAGACAAAAAAGCTAAAACTGAATCCATTAAATCTTTTACAGAATGTGAGAAAACTCAGTCAACTCTACTGCTTTTAGTCCTATTTTAGATAACCTACAGTTGCTCCATGTAACAGGTTTTTGGAAATTGGTTCCAGACCTGAGAAGCAGATAAATGAAATGTGGCCTCCCTTTAAGTTCTGAAGGTTGAGTAAACTCTAAGTGGTGTAGCAGGTTCATTCACGTTCATATCGATTTAGTGGCAAAGTCATTTACTGCGTTACTGCCCAATAATCAGATTTTTAAATGTATCCTTTAACTAGCATTTAGGCCAGGAACTGAAATGGGAACAACTGGTTTAGGACTCTAGTATGTGGTGTGTTTGGACAACCACTGATCAACAGTGAGGAGATTTTATAAAAATAAATAAAAATCAAGTTAGAAATTTTTCAAATAAAGCTCCAAAATGTTGTTGAAAAATTTATTAGAAACAACTAGTGTCCTATATTAAATATGTTTTTCTTTTAAATATTGAGAAACTTTTGCAAGAAAATGTAATAAAAATGCATTTTATTGCATTAAGTGATTCCATTCAATGTTACTAATTGGTTGCTTAGTCTCCTATTTGTTACTAAATAGATATTTTGTAAATTAATAATTTTTTGCAGCTGTGTCTAGTACTTGTTGGACTTGGAAACTCATCTTGATGCAACATATGACACATGAGATGATTTCTAAAGATTTTTGATAAATCTGCCCTGCTCATTCTTACAAATCATTTTCAGAAATTTGTGCAATTTTCTCACATTATGCACATCTCTTAGATATTTTACTGAAGCTGGAGAGAATGTGTAAGTCTCTCTGATGACACATTTTAATTAAATTATATAAAGACAAAAATGGAAATTACACAAATGGCTTAAAATAACCAGTCAGTTCTGATGTGATGTATGTGATGTAATCAGCGATGTGTATGTGAATTCTCTATTTATTGTAAATTATCCAAGCAAAATCAAAAAACCATCTGACCCCCACCTTGCTTCTTGTTTTTTAGATGAAAATGTAAAGTGAGATTTCACATAAAGTTCTGGCTACTGGCTTTAATAACTTTTGTACCAATTTGACTGACTTATCAGCTTAACTAAAAGCATTTCTGTTTCCTCTTTTCAGAAACATTCCTGGGGGAAACAGTGCAAGTGAACACATAGACACCAGTCACACACACACACAAGCACAATGCAGGAGTCGGAGCCCACAGTCTGCCAGCTGCAGCCCAACATCATCTCAGTGCGCCTTTTCAAGAGGAAGGTTGGTGGTTTGGGCTTCCTGGTGAAGCAGAGGGTGTCCAAGCCGCCTGTCATTGTGTCAGACTTGATTCGCGGCGGAGCAGCAGAAGAGTGTGGCCTGGTGCAGGTGGGCGACATAGTTCTAGCCGTCAATAACAAACCCCTGGTAGACCTTTCATATGAGAGAGCGTTGGAGACTTTGAAAAATGTGTCGCCTGAGAGCCATGCCGTGCTCATCCTCCGAGGACCCGAAGGGTTTACCACCCACCTGGAGACCACCCTGACCAGAGATGGCCGCCAACGCACGGTGAGGATCACCCGACCTGCCTTCCCACCCTCAAAGTCCTTCGATCAGTGGTCTCCTCTCAGCGCGTACAGCCCCGGGCAGCAGCTCAACAAGGAGCCCCAGCTGAGGGCCATTGAAAACCTGTCCTCTCCTTCCATCACTCAAACGCTCTTGCAGAGGGGAGGGATGCAGGGCCAGGATGGTGGCCGCGGAGCTCTCCTGTGCAACGGGCTGGAAGAAAACAATGACCTGCTTAAGGAGATTGAACCGGTGTTACATCTCATCAAAAACAGCAAAAAGGAGATTAACGGTGAAGGCCAGCGAAATGCTGGGAGAAGAGATGCAGAGATTCAAGTGGCATGGTAATTTCTAATGTGATAAGTCATTATTGATCCCTTACTTTAACTGTCTTTTACCTTTATGCTCCTCCAAGCTGATGACTGGAGTTGGAGCCCAGTCAGAATTAAAAGTGAAACCCTCATGGGGGAAATGTTATTGGCTTACACAAGATCCTGCACCTGGTCTGGTTTCAGAAAGAATTCCTGTTCACTCTGTCACCATGCAGTCTCTGAACAGCCTGGCACATCTGTGTTGCATTAGCTGTTACATCCAGGCTGTCAGCACTATGACTCAGAGTACAGTGGTGTACATAATTCATGTCTGCATGCTGGCCTCCAGTAAACCCCACTTAAAGTGACAGTATTTGGAATATATTTGCCAGCTGCTTTTCTTAATTCGCTAAGCCAACTACGATGGCTCCATTAAATGACTTGCATCAATTTGGCAGCTTTCCCTTAATTGTGAGGCTTGTGGCAAAATCCAACAAATTTGAAATGCATGGCAGAATTGAAATAATTTCCATTAGATATGTTAGTATTCTGCATAAGTAAGTATATTAGGTTTTTTTTGTCAGCTTGTGAGAGATTTAAAGTTCACAGCTTGGGGTAATTCAATAGATAGATGTCAGGGCATTAGTTGTCCAGAATGTCCTGTGAGGAAAATCTAATCAGGAACATTTTCCCAATTGTCAAAAGGTTGCACTAAACTGTAAAATACTTGAAGTACTGTAAGCTTAAATACTCATTTGGGACGAGGTTTCACAAGATCCTTCAGGACAAAATAACGAAAATCAATGTTTGACTGTGCCTAAATTGTCTGCACAGTGTTCTGTTATTGACATCAGCTATCTGCTCCCTTTGCCAAGTGAAATCACATTGAGTCTCCTTTTGATTAACATCTCATTTTTACCAGTGAAACTCTTTTTTCTCCATCATAAATATGCTTTAAGTGATTTGTTGCTTTCTGTGGGTAGGTATACAGCATAGCACACAACTATGGGAGTTATGTTTTGAATAGTTTCAGATGAGTTCACATGAATTGGGTTCAAACACGGTTAAAAAATAAAAATCATATGAAATTAAGATGTAAGAGGATGTGATTAAGATTGGTCGTTATTTGCAGTGTCCAAAATTGAGAACTAACCTTCAAGAAGCCATCTAAACATTTAAAAGTTTATTTTAAAATGCAATTCGAGGTTGAATGACAGTCTTTTTGTAAAATACTCGGCAGCAAAACTAAAGTTTATCAGACTTGCAAATGAAACCCTAAAAATATGTATACTGTTGACTTTCTTCACCCTTGTGAAAAGTCTTAGTAAAGGGATTCTCCTGGTTATGTTCAGCCTGAGATGGAATTAGTTGATTTTTCTGCAACATCAGTCACTATGTGTTACACAGACAGCAAACACATGACTCCTATTTGGGTCAGAAAATATTTCCAGGAACAGATTGTGGAAGTTTTTACTCTGTAGGTGTACAAGCTAACAAGCTGAAATTCTAACATTCTGCATCATCTGTTTGTTTGTTTTTTGTGTTTTTTTTTTTGCAAAGTCTCATTTAATTTTGCTTTTAACTTTATTATTCTTAAGAAATCTTCCTACTTCTTGCTTGGTCTCGGAGCTCAATGGTTAACCTTGACATGATTGGGGTTTAGGAAGCTGGCCTGTCCAAAACAAACTTTGTGAAAAGCCATCTTACAATTTTTAAACATGCATTGTGCTCGGGGGGGTATGACAATATGAAGACGCCACTAGATTTGTTTTTATAGAAAAGCAAGCCTTGTTGCCAGCATGTGACTGTCTAATAAAGCAAGTGTAAGTTATTATGAGCTCTATGTATTAAAATGAATAAGTTTTAAATGCAATATAAAATTTGAGACTCCTACCGGTATTTTAAAGGATGAGATGAAGTAATTATTGAGTTGTCTGTTTTGATAGATGTTGAAAAGACTTCAGTTCAATCTTTTGCAAACCTTTACACCTTCTTTGTCCCCTCATGTTGCCATTTTGTCTGGACAACTTTCACATAGATCTTAAATGCATAATACTTTTTATGACACCTGGTGATCATTTATTATTGGGGGGATAAATAATTATGACATTTTAAAATCTCTGCATATTTGAAAATGGCTGAAAGGCTTTATCTTGAATTCCATTTCTCTTTACTGTGGTTTTGATGCTCATTTTGACTAGCTGACCTTATGTTGACCCTTCTGTGCTTCATACTTTTGATCCTTTACTCTTCCTGATGAAGCCGTAACTCAATCAGCTAATTTTCTATCAATACATGATATGATCTTAAAAGCATTGTACTTTAAGTCATTCACTGAAACTGCAAAAATATAGTCAAGGTGGAAAAAAATAAGATAATTTGAATGTCTGCATGTCCCTTTGGGATCTTCAGCAGTAATGGCAAGGGTTGTACAGGAAATACTCAGTAAAAACAGACATATTAAAGCCAAACTTTCTCATTCAAAAGCACAATTGTGCTCCGAGTGTGTAACAAGGCATGGCCAAAATCAACATGTTATGCACTGTCAAGTTAAAGTCACCAAAGAGTACATTTCAGCAATCACAAGATGTTATCTTTTAACTGCTTTGGTTTCTGATAAAGATCTCAACTGAAAATGAACATTTAAAAAAATGTGGTTATTTTTAACACACACGGAATGTGTTTCCGGGTAATCTTCCCACAGTAACGTTTCTGGAATCAGTTTTTAAAGACCTATTGTCAGGAACAAAAAAGCGTGAAACAATGGCCGTTGCTTGTTTTCAGCAAAGAAGGAGGTATATTTTCACAGCTCCACGTCAGGCAGATGATGCTCTGCGTCAGTCAGCGGTAATCGCAAATGACACATGCGACTTCTCCCATTGTTTCAGCCCATTTGAACTCCAACTCTGCAGCGTCGGAAAGAATATGCTTTCCCAAATTGTGGCAATAACGAGATGGAATGTGACAGGAAGTGTGAAAGAGAAAAAGGATGCCTATGAGGACTTACAATTGGCACGGACACGTGCTCATGGCGATGGCAAGGAAAGATGGGCGGGTTGGTGCTAGAGGGGTTGAGCATGTGAAAGACTGTAGGAGGCAAAATGTGTGTGGGCGTTTTTGAATGGAGGAAACCAAACTTAAACAGGGAGATTAGGGTTTTTTTTTTGTTTTTTTTTTTCCAAGTCCTATGTTTTTCTGTGTGTTAGCAGCTCCAAATCCCACCCACAATCCCATTCTCACAGCTCTGATTGAGATATCTCACAATTATGCACAATCCTTCTTCACATGTAATATTTTTTCCTATTGTAATTTTTGAACCTCCTGGTTTGTTCAGTGTTTTTATTTAAGAGTCATCTGGATTTAAGTTTGCTTTTCTTAGAATTTGCCTGATCAGTTTTGCCACAAAGTTACTTAAATAATCCACATCTAGCACAACCTGGAGCATGAAACAAATCAATGCACCTGTATACTTTTGAAAAGACAATCCTGTTTAAGGTTTACTTTTTAGACACAGAAAGCTTTCATGATTTTAATAGCATTGGTGAGCAAACAGTCTTGTGTCCACAAAGCCAAAATTGAGAATTGTTTACAGTCTGTGTGTGCTTTTAATTGTCTGAGTTTGCTTTTTTGTGAGATTTTTAAATTGAAATGAAAGTAGCTTGTGTAAGATCAGAGTGCACACACCTGATGGAAAATTGGGTTTCTCTTCCAGGGACCTCGGTGTGGGAAATGAGACATCCATCCAGCTGGGTTCGGATAATGACAGAATGTCAGAACACGTGCCAGTGGCAGACCACAATGCTGATATTGACAAGGTAAAAAACAAAAGTACAACTGAAATATGTTAAAATAATAGCAATGATTTAAAAATGGAATCAATCTAAAAATAAGTTTATCCAAATTAGTTCTGAATGACCCACAAATCACGGTTGCTTTTTCTTTGCATTTGTCTGCAGTTCAAGTCTGGCCAGGCTTTGCCACAGTGTCTTATTTATACCTCTTTTACATTTTGTCGCACAACTTCAAACTTCTGTGCATTTTATTTCATGCAGTAGAATAACACAAACTAGTACATGTCTGTGGAGCAGAAGGAAACATTTTATTTGTAAATATTTTCCAAATATTTACAACAGTTGGCAGACAGTTGGATTCATCCCACCACCTCTGATAGCACTGACATCACCAAATGCACGCAACTTCTTTCAAACCTCATCTAATGAGTAAATATAGTACAGATGTGTGTAGTTTTACTTTAGCGTAAATCCAGCTGTTCAGTGAAGCATTCAGGTTTGTTAGAGTATTAGTGAGTAAACAGAATCATGAGAAAAAAGGAACATGGCATGTCAAGGATAATGCTGTGAAGAAGCTTAAACACATTTGGGTTACTAAACAATGTCCCAAATCTGAAGCACTGCTCAGTTCATCTGCCAAACATGGGGGAAAAAAAAAATTGCATGACTGCAAACCCACCGAGACATGATGGTCAACTTTAAATAACAGGCTAGAAGAAGAGAACATTCATCAGAACAGTGGTCCAAAGGACATTAGTACATCTGGAGGAGTTCAGGAGATCAGTAGTTTAGGTAAATGAAAATGTTAAGACGACAAATGTTAGTCACACTTATCACAATTCTGGGCTTTATGAAAGAGTTGCAAACAAACAAAAACAAGCATTATTGAAAGAAATGTGGAGGTGGCAGCATCATTCTGTTCAGATACATTTCTTTATCAAGGACAAGAAATGGTTACACCAGGGTGGGACTGCACCCTCCTATCCACAACCGAAGTCCAACGCATATTCTTACAATTTAAAACATACGTTTTAATAGGGATTTGTCTTTATCATGCATATCCCTATACAGCTCTGCAGAAGGTGGCAAAGTGTTTGCTGATCTCTGCATTTTATTTTTTTTGATGATGACTTGTTGCAGTGTTAAATCTGACCTTCCAAACAGAAGGATCTCATCATCGGTCTCAGTGATGTGGGTAGTGTGATAATCTGCACACAGCCCACATTATCAGCACAATTTTAGCGCTTCTCAAGGCTTCATCAATGCAACCGGATGGAGTGGAATATTTCCAGTAGACCCAATGAATACATCCAGCTGCAGTACAATTTCTTCCAATTAAATGAACCCTTTTCTTTGATTAATCAATTCTTTTAGACCTACAAACAAAATGCAGATTCTTTTGGAATATGTGTTTTGTTTTTCACAGAAAAAACAGAAACAGATTTGACTGGCTAACGGACCTCAGAGGTGAATTTGATATGAAATGTTTTTGCTCAAACCTGAAGGACTTAAAAATTTAGTTGAAATGTGCATTTTGTTATAAAAACCATAAATGAGAAACATTAGTCCAGGGAAAATCTTATTGAACAGCTAGTGGTTTATAAAATTGCATGTCTAATTTCTTAAGCTGCCAGAATTTTAGTTGACACGCTCACCTGCAATTCAGTTTTCTCTCTGTGGACAGAGATTGTTCTTCAATCTTCAACCTGAGTTTCTCCTCCATTATGATTAATATGTAAACTACAACAGCAGATTGTTCTGTAAAATTACACCCAATTTCTGGTGGCACTCGCTTGAAGAAGTCACTGAAGCAGGGAAATGTAGCTCACAATCTTTTATTTGTTTTTTCCTTAAATCCTAAGAAGTGCATAAATATTTTGCAATCACACTTTTTCTCTTTTCAAGCTGTCTGTTTTATCCACTTTCTATCAGCTGTTCCCAGATTTTGCTGCTCATCATCTGAATTTCCAATCAAATATTTTAATTGATTGGTGGAACGTTTACTGCATAAATAAGTTTGCTTCAAATCATTTGGTAATTATGCTCCATCATCCTATTCTCCTAATCAGTTTTGCTGTTATTGTAATTTCTTGTACAGCAGATCCTCTCTTTTCCATCCATGCCTCATTCTTGACATTGATATATGTTGATTTGAATCTGATGGGCAGCAGGAAGGAGGACCGGATCATTTAAAGAAAGGAAATATAAAATGGTCTTCATTCAGATAAATTGACCTGTTTTGACTTGAGAAATACAAGAAAACCCACGGTGGTCAGGATTTATTTTCAACCAGCAGTTGATGTTCACTCTTCATTTATTCATTTGGCTTGCAGCCTCACAGAGGTGTGGACATACAGATTCATTTATAATTGATGGATCACAACTTTGGAATAGAACTGTTTTTAGCAAATTGTCTCACAATTCCTGCATTATTTAAAAGTAGATGACAAAAATACTCAGTTTGTGGCTTGAATCTATCTTTAAACTTTTTATCTGTATACTTATATGAAATGCAATTCTTTAAACATGTTGGACCTTACCAAGCTACCCTAAAATGTCAATTTTATGACAGCAACAATGGAAAAGGTCTGAACAGGTATGTCATGTTTTGAGCGATTGCCAGGCGAAAGCAATTTCACTTTTAAAAAGAAATTTGTTTTGTAGTACATGAGACTTCCTCAAACTGCACAAGCTATTTGACTTTTTTTCTGCTGGTGATCAGAAAGGTTTTGTATATCAGGCCGATTTGACTCAATTGTGTTGATACCTGACCTTACAGCTAAAACCTGGCTCAATCTGGGTGTAAATGATCGCTAGCCCATCAACATAAGGTAATCTGGGTGTCTTGATGACAGAGTCAAAGTTCAAACCTCATAACTTATTGAGACTAGTACAACTTCAAATCGATAAAACACCTGCCACTCTCAAATGGAAGCTATGGTGTAAAAAATAAGAGTTGTTTTACAAAAAATTACAACTTGTTGCCTTTCTGAACAAAGTATTAAAAAATACTAATTGTCGAAAGTATTTATTTCTCTTATGCTTTCTGTTAGTTATACTCTTCACCAAGAATACTAACCTTTCTCAATCACACACACATTCATAAGTTGCTCTGAGTTTTGACCACTAAAGTGGATGGAACTGAGCTTCCTAGTACTGAAAATGTCACAGTCAACTTTACAGGGATCTGGACACAAGTCTGTCAACTAACATTGGCTTGTATCTTCTATTACTGACTTTCAGCAATCCACATTATTCATAGGAGGCTTACTGTAGAAACAATTTTGGGTCCTACTTCCGGCGCTCACCGAAAGCAGCAGCAGTATAGTGTTTCACTGTAATTTGTAGGTTTTTTTCCTAATCTATATTCATGATAGAAAAGCTATATCTCTTTGGGTTATTGTTCAATATTTAGTAAAACTTGCATATGGACACACCGTATGCTATCCGAGAGATGCTCAGTACAGAGGATCGTAATTGTGAGTTTAATCACGGGGAGCGACAGGCACACGATCGTTAAGTTTTGTAGCAAAACACTTAATTAAGAAGAGAAAAGCATAGATGCTGGTCAGAGTTCTGAGCTGCCATTTTGCACCAGAAGTGTAAAACAACAACTACATTGGTGCTTGATGTGTTGTGAATTTTCTTTTTTGTTTTAATTTAAAAAATAAAGTTTATGAAGTGGCTGCACCAAGTGTGTTTTATTGTGTTTTGAGCCAGCAATACATTTTTACAAGACAAAATAAAGTATCCAGGTTTATTTAGTCCATCACAATCAGAACCTCGAGGTTCACAGTGGCTCAATGTTACTACAAATCAAGGGAGAAATGACTGCAGCGGCTACGCTTCAGAATGTAATACGGAGAATCTCCCTACTGGACTAGAACCAAACCAAACCAAATCACACATTAACCTGTTATAGAGAGCAACTTGCTGGAAAGGGTACGATCCCCTTGTGCATCCAAAGCAACTGAATTAGTGAAGTAGCTACATATGCTCGTGCGGGTTATTTTCTCCATCATCCCTCCCTGCAATAACTGTAGGTAGCGGTAAAACAATGTTGGCACATTTAAGCTGTGGTAACTGGAGTTCACACATATTGTAGCCTAAAAACTGACAAAAGATGGATAGCGAGTTGCTAACATGGAAACAAATGGCAGTTCCGGTTTGCGGAGCAAAACCTCATGGGGGCTAGGAATAAGGTGGATACACGGTGATGTTAAAGTATTAAGATGCATTTTACAGGTTTTAGGCACAGAACTCTCATGGGTAGATGTTTTCCAAATGAATCTGGATTTAAGGCAGCCATATCTGAATTTTAAGGATGGCGTTTGTACGATTTTTGAAGTGTTGCAGATTTTCTGATTGAAAAATTCCATCTTGAGTTAAGAAACAAATGGAAAGCTTTGCAAAGCAAGCTCTTCTATTTCCACCTCCATTTTTTTCTCTCAAATCAACTGGATTAAGAATTACAAACTTAGTATTAGATGGTCTCTTTTGATTGTTTTTCCTTTTTATTATAGCTGCCAATTATGTTCCCTTTTTTAAGTTCTTCTATTTTGACATTTAAAGTGTGCATTAGTACGAGGCATAAAACTTAAAAAGTATGCTGACATTCAAAACTTGTTCTTTTGGAAAAAAAATAATCTGCTAAAGTCTCAAACGTTAATGCCAAAGTTACCATTTAGTCAATCAGCAGCCATAAGTTGTGTCACTGTCAAGAAATTCAGTTTCACAACATCTTTTTTGAATTCTAGCAAAAAAGATTTTTTTTTTTTTTTTTTTTTATGTGGAACACTGAATTCTTCCTCAACTTTTGATGTGTCACTGTTTAGCTGCACAGTGAGTCTTGGCTGCTGTTTGAGACTGAACGTACCACAAAAAAGGTCTTTATATGTACTGTTCAAAGCTCCAAACTCCTTTTTGCAACTTGATAAAACACAAAAAAGACTCAGCCAGTAAACACTGTTGGCATTCTCTCCAGCAAGCATAATGATTATGTCCCTGTTGCTCAAAACTGTGTAATTAACAATGCAGTGGCAGATGATGAAAGAGCTTCTAAAGAGTGCCATTGATTACTCTGATCTTTGGCAATCACTTGCTGCTTTTCTCCAGGAACGTTTACAGGCGACTTTGGGGTTAAATTGCCTTCATTGATCAGTCAGTAGCTTGAGAACCTCAATGAGGTGAGAACTAGCTCACCCTTGACTTACGGTTTCACACTGATTGCCTTTATCCTGGAGTGGAAAATAAAACAGAATTGGAAGAGGAGAAGAATGTGAATGCTTTCTGTAATCGGCTCTGCTTTCATAAGCCTGTGTGAGATGATCTCGAACACAATGCATAACAATTTTCCTTGAGAAGAAAGAGCTTGGGTCAAAGCTGATTGCAATGCTTGAAACACTTCTGGAGAATGTTTGCTATATTCATCCTAACTTTCCTGACACAAGCTTCACTCACATTCGCTTCCTGGATGTGGGACTTTTCAGCTTTTCTCGATATAACACCTGGTGAGAAACGATTAGTTTCTGACCCAAGTGTTATAAGAGTCAGAACCTATTAGAGTAGTTATAGTTGTGACTAATGCATATATACATCTCTGTGTGCTCTCTGCAGTCTACAGCCCAGGGCAGGATGTCACCCATTAAATCTGTGCAGAATGGCAGCCCCTCCAAATGCCCTCGCTTCATGAAGATCAAGAACTGGGAGACGGGCGGTGTCTACAATGATGTCCTTCACCACAGCTGCAGTAAGGTAAGGCAAAACATAAATATTGTTTTTTTTTTTTAATTGACGTAACTACCATCCAATATTTCAGCAAGGGATTTTCCTTTTATTGCCTAAATCATGCAGCGGAAAAGCTAATTAATGTACAATTATCATAGGGATGAATGAGAAATGCTTTTAATCTGCCTCATTAATTTTATTTCAAAACAAAAAGACACATTAATGGTTCTTTCATAAATATATAAAACACAACTTATATAATCTTAATAAATAGAAATAGATTGATACATTTATTTAACTTTAATTACTCTACAAAAACTAGCGATAAAATGCAATTTCAATCAATTCTCACTAATTTCAGCTTTGTAATCCACGAAGGGCATACATTTTAATTTTCACAACCTTCAGTTTTCAGTGTTTTTTTTTTTTTTTCCAAGCCTGGTTAAAATCCAACAGCTTTTTCTACACTTTGTGAACTTTGGTGATATTTGAAAGGATTGGAGCTGATTTTACCAAATCCTACTGTTTGGTAAACACTAAATTGCCTTCATAATGTTCCAGTTTGACCGTGAAGGAAGCTACGCTGTAGAGCTGACTGGAATTGCATCCACAATAAATAGAAGAGAAGTGTGAAGCTGAACATCTTTTTCAGCAATAAAATGTCTTAAGCATTCCTCTTGCTCCAGAATTAATTGTGCAATATTTATCTGACCAACACACCCTAATGCCTTTCACTTCTGCTGCCAGTGCAACTGGGTGTCTACAATTCAAAAACAGGAGTTGCAAATGAGGATATTGATTCTCTGCACTGTTTGCTGGTTGGCCAGAATGAAATCCATCCTGAGAAATCCAGAAATACAATGTAACAAATCCCAGACAGAGCACTGAAAAGACATACTTGAATGGATTTATCCAAACTATTTCAATCTTGTAGTTTGTAATTTTCTTTTAAGCTTAATTTTTAGATTTTATTATAGAATATGTTTTCCATCTATCATTTTAGAGTAACACTCAATTACTGAATAATTGGATGCATTATCTTGGACTATTGTATTGGACAAAGATAATATCAAAGGTCGCCATCGTTGTAGTCCCTAAATTCAAGTTCATAAAGGAGAATGACGTGGGTATTTCAGTGTTTGAGATCAATTGCGCAGCATCTATCTCTTTTAAATTTGTTTTTGTTTTTAAATTATCCACATGATTTGAACAACAGGAAACTGCACAAAGAATGTGAAATCTTAATTGGTCATTATCCATCACTATTATGTCAGAATAGTCTGTGTTGCATGTTTATTGCGTGACTGGCTATGCTGTTCTATTCCTGTTTAGACAGCCATTGTCTGTGAAATACAGGCCATAGCAGCCCTGGCAAGTCTTTCAATATTGTAAAACAATATTTGCAATTACATGTGCATATTTATTTGGCAAATACAAGAATGTTGTAAGATGCACAATCAGTTTAAAGTACATGTACCTAAGAACACTTGGAAATGGCTTTTGTAAAAGCAATTTTTTGTTGCTGATATTTGTGACTTTTTGGCATACTTCATAAAAACTGTCACAATATGGTAGGAGAGCGTTTTGCCCTTATATTTCAGGACTTGAGCACTTTGTAGTCAGTAAGTCACTGACCCATAAATTCCAATGTGGATCAAAGTCTTGCACAGTTAGATGTGAGCCCATCTGCTCAACAGATGAACCTTGACCCAAACTGGGTCACCCAGCAGCACGATGATCACCAAACATACTAGCAAAACTTCAACTGAGTGTCAAAAATGGAAAACAATGACGTTGTTGCTAAAGATCGCTAATGGACTCTTTGATTTCCTGGTTATTCCAGCCCCGGGCATAAATAGGTGCCCAAAAATGCAGCAACTAAATACATTATTTCATTTAATTTCTAATCATATTTATGTAGTTGGTGACTATAATATAATGCTGAGTAATGAATACCTTGTAATAAAACAATGTATCATCAGCACACTGTTATTTGGCAGCTCACATGGATGAATGATTTTCTGTAAAAGAGAACTAGGGGAATCGAGATGAAATTTTCATTTTTGTCGTAATCGTTTTCTTTTTATATGTCTATAACAAAGCCATCATATTTAATAGCTTCTCTAAGAAATATTATTTCCTCCACATTTTAGGCTCCTAAAATCTCTAGCCATAATTGGCACACTGTTCAGCTGTCCAACAGCTGCTTATAATGGAAATGTTATGATTTTCCTGGTAGGGGGTGGTGAAACAGAGTATGAGATAATTTGTTCATCATTTCAAGAATTCTGCCTTTAACATTATTCTTTGCAAAATTATAGAAAAAAAAGTTCACATCACAGCTTTGAGTAGGAGGGCTTTGCAAATGCAACGAATGAAATAACTAAAAATAAGTGTTTGGGCAGATAATTTTTTACTTATATTGTTACCTCATAAATCCACCATACTTCTTGTTCGGGTGAGCTCAATTGTTGCACTTAATTGTGGTCCAGTGATGCATAATCAACGGACTGTGGGTTTACAATGTAGACATCAAATATGGAACCAAAGTGACTGCATGAATTTTATGTTTTCATGTAAGCATCTTTAGGGATGACATACAGTTTGAAGAGGGATGTTTGTAGCTAAGCAATGTTTAGATAATTCAGCGCAAAAAAAATACAGAAGTGGTCAAGTCTAAGGATGAAGAAGAGGAATACGTTTGTGAAAACAACAGTCTATTGTTCATGATTTTTATTTTTTATCTAAAACCAAAAAGATGATTTATTGTTGTGGAGAGCAGAACCTTTAAGTGAAATTGAAAATTCAGTTGTTTAGATGAACAAGAGCTTAAAATAGATTATAGTTGAAAATTGTCCTTTAGTCTTGAGCCAACTTTCTAAATACTTGATGAAATGATTCAAAATTATTCCCTGAATTATTTTTGGTGACAAATATTATTTTGGAGTAATACTCAACATCTCTTGATTGTCCAGATATTTTTAAACCAATGTCAAGCTAAGTCAGGCATTTTTGAATGGGATGCATCTTTTTCCAGCTGAAACATGTCGGCTGTAAGGTTAGCATCCATTACTTTGTTTGCAACACGAACTAGATGCAAAAAACACTTTATTCATCCATTTTAGAGATCACCACTTTTGTGTGTGATATTTTTCTCTGTGATCTAGCACAAAAGAATTAAAATAAGATGTTCAGTCATTTCCGACACTTATGAGACTGAAAGTCGCAGACGATAATGTTTAGCCTTTTTTTTCCTGTTAATTTCTCAGTTGTTTTTTTTCACAACATATTTTGTCAAATAGCCAAAGTTTCTACTTTTAGTCAATGAGTCCACCTACCAGAGGAGAGGTGATCATTGCAGTTTTCAAGGATGCACCGCCATTTGTAAACAGAAACCTAATTCCTTTGACTTATTGGACAGCCTGTCGTGTGCATCCCAATGAATGGGCTGTAATGGCATCTTCAGATTTATTATATATCACAGATGAGCCGTCTTATTCCAAAAGGACAGCTGGCTGGCATGAATGCCCAGAGCAGTGTGACGAGCGGACGTGCTGGAGCATGAGTTATTCCTTTGTTTTATTTTTAACTCTCTACTCATCCATTTTCCCCGTTTTACTCCGTCACCTCTTTGTTTCATCTGTTTTGCTCTTGCTTGTCGGTTACCTCTCCCCAGATTCCTGTCTTTCTTTTGTCTGACTTGAAATTCATTTGTTTTTCATTGTGTTTTCTTTCCTCAGTTTGCTCACAGATTCGTGTTTTTTTTCCTCCATATTTCTTTTTTCTTTTGAACACATCCTTACAGTGTTGGCAAAGTGTAAGTGGGTGGTTGAGTTTAATGAGCCAATTTTGGGCACACTAGGGTCCTAGTCAAATTTTCTCTTTGCTAACACCCTCTACTTATGCTGCTCTTGATTCTCTCTCCAAAAAAAAAAAAAATCAAGGTGACTGTTGACTAAACTTTTAATAACACGATGACCACAGAGGGTGGGATAGATTTCTTTTTTCATTGTAGCCATCTGTTATTTATGTTTGTCTTTTTCTTGTCTGTTCGATTCTTCAAGTCCCCATTTAATGGAACGACACCAACATGACTCACTGACTTACTCATTCATTGATACACATGCCATCTATTTATATAACAATAGGAAATGTAACATTTGCAGTGTCTGGAATTCTTAAAGAGTTAAAACAACTTTACTTATTATCCCTACTGAAATGTAATACTTGATCTATTTGAAAGGGCTTGAATACACCTGAGTAAGGGACTCATTGTGTTGATTGTATGAAAGCAGAAAAAAAAATACTGAGGCTGATTTAACATCAAACTGTTTCAAAAATGGCTCATGAGTGTTTTGGTTATTAAACTTCAGGAACCAGATGAAAACTGAACTCAAAACAAGCTTTCTAGATTTGTATCTTATGGAAACCTAAGATTCACTAGCACTCTTTTTCTCCAGAGCTTGATTTTCAAATGCAATGCAAATTTTACTTTCATCTGAAAATATGTATACATTTGTCTCCACCCTCAAAATCTGTTTGCAGTTGTGTTTATCCTGAAACATAAAAAAAGCTGTCTGCACTACGTTAAAGGCTGAAAACTAAAGGTTTTAGCATGTTTTCAGTTAAAGCAACACAACTCTGAACGTCTTTCCCATTGAGTGTGAAATCTGGAGGCTGATTGTTTTTTTTCTTTTCTTTAAGGCAACAAAAACCAATTGCTTTTGCTTAGTTGTTCGAATGTTGTGATGATTTAATGCTTAATTTTACTTTTGTACAGTATTAACTTGCTTGCTTATTTGCAGATGCCAATCTGCAGTGAAAACGTCTGCAATGGTTCTATAATAATGCAAAGTCAGAGTGTTCGCAAACCAGATGAGGTCCGAACCAAAGAGGAACTTCTTCCCCTGGCCGCTGACTTCATTGACCAATACTACACCTCCATAAAAAGGCAAGTTCAGCTAATAATACCGTAGTAAAAAAAATAAATAAAGCCTCTAAACCTGTGTGATTTGTTATATGGAGATTTACAATTTTTAGACAGTTAAACTGTCATCTAATTAATCATAAAAAGTGACAAGTCTGTCAGCTCTGTACACAGAGATATCACTACACAGTGCAATATTCTTGGGTTTCAAGTGAGTCAAAGAGCTGATCCAATTTCTCCTTCTCCCCCCAAAATGTGTGTAGTTAGAAGACCCATTGTCAACTCTACATTTCCCTTGTAGAAGATTTTAAGTATAGTAAAGAAAATATTTGAAAGGCCTGGTTTGGTTTCAGCGGTCTCTTCTTAAATGCAACCAAAAGCGTTCTTGGTAAATTAGAGAAGCTGCAGCGGGTTTGGAAAATGCACTTCACCAAAAACTCCACAAGTTTTGTTAATGGAAGAAATCTAGTCTACAGCAATGGCCTGTGAACTGAAGTGCATGGTAATGGATGTCCGAAAAAACTGCAGGTATCCGGTCAAAGATGTGGCGACCTTTTATTAATACTCAGCTTACAACTCTTAATGTACAAAAGTAAAATCAGCAAACATCACGCCTTTTATATTATAGCTGCAAAGCTGTTTAACTACGGCAAAAAATTACTGTAACAAAAAAACTGTTCGGCACACTCTAGAACGTTCCAACACATCAAGACTCTGATAGGTTGTTGTCGACCATGATTGACAGGCAGACCAGCCAATCACAATCCAGCGAAGTCCACAAGGCACAGTCCAACACTTTGGGTATTTTCCACAGCCGCCCCCAAATTATCCATGATAATTTGCAGCTTGGAAATATTTACTGAAGATCGGTCCTTTAATCTGGAACTTCTGGCAGTTTCACTAGACGTACGACTGGGCGAATATAGTTGCGATCCTGGACCTGCACTTCAGCTGTGCGGATTCTTCCGTCTGCTGCAGGGAAAACCTTCTTAATCAGTCCAACAGGCCAAAGAGCTCGTGGTAACTGTGGGTCTGCTATCATCACAACCGTTCCAATTTGCAGGTCTTCAGTGTGCTCTTGCCACTTATTTCGAGCTTGGAGCCCTGGCAGGTAAAACTTTAGGAAATGTTTCCAAAAGTGTTCAGCCAACACTTGACAATGTCTCCATCTCCTCCGACCAGTAATCTCTACTTCTGGGTATGTAACTTGAGGAAGAGATGGATCTAGCCGCCCCATCAGTAAGATGTTAGGAGTGATAGGATCTGGGTCGGCTACGTCTGTTGAAACATAACCAAGCGGTTTGGAGTTAAGAATCCCTTCAACTTCCACCAAAAGTGTGCGCAGGACCTCCTCTGTCACAATTTGGGCACCCAGGGTTGTAGTGAGGGCTGATTTCAGGGATTTAATTTCCCTTTCCCAACATCCACCGAAGTGTGGTGCTCCTGGAGGGTTGAATCTGAAGTCTATTTGTTGACCAGCCAGCTGTTCCTGAATTTGTGGCTGAAGGCTCCTGAAGGCATTTTTCAGTTCACGTTCTCCAGCTTTAAAATTTGTGCCTTGATCACAAAGTACTTCATTGGGCTTTCCTCGGCGGGCTATCAGACGTCTCAGTGCCAACAAGAATGAGTCGGCATCAAGGCTTGGCAGCAGATCTACATGGACAGCCCTTGTGGTCATACATTTGAATATGATGCCCCACTCTTTTCATGTCTTCTGCCAATCTTGATAACGTAAGGTCCAAAGCAGTCCACTCCAATAGAGTAGAAAGGTGGTTTGAATAGTCTGAGTCTGGATGGTGGCAAATCAGCCATTTGGGAGCAACAGGTTTTCCCCTCCATCGTCGGCAGCCAACACAATTTTTCTGATAGCGTCGAACAGCCTCCCTGCCCCGTAGAATCCAGAATCTTCTCCTTATTTCTGCAAATACCCTTTCTGGTCCTGGGTGGTGAAGCTCTTCGTCGATGTCCTTAATGATTAATTCTGTCACAGGATGACGGGGATCGAGAACGAATGGGTGGATAGAATCCTCTTCAAGTTCAGAGGCACGTCTAAGTCGGCCTCCCACACGGATGAGTTCCATGGATTGGTCAACTGCGGATCCAAACGGTACAATCGACTACTAGGTCCAACCGTTTGGCCTGATTTGAGCTTAGGAAACTCAGTAGGAAAGCTTTCCCTCTGGGTTTGACGCAGTATTTCAATTTCAGCTTTCCGATAATCATCTGCTGTGGAGCTGCCAGTGGTGTGAGCCGCCCCATGAGCACGTCTCACTGTCGCTTCTACAACATCCCTGAAAGTTTGATACTGGGTGATCTCAGGGATGGCAGAGCTTGGGATGTTAGATATGGCTCCACAAAATGATGAATGTTTTAGCTCATCTTCGCCATCTGTGGTGCAGATTGAGGGCATGAGGCCATAAGTTCATAGGGTCTTGAAGAAAGACAGGTCCATGTGACCACCTGGAGACGTCGGCAAGTTCGGCCAGAGTTTTTCCCCTGGTTATGTCGTCAGCAGGATTCTCTTTTGATGGCACAAAGTGCCAATCCTGGGGGGATGTTAACTCCTGAATTTCTGCCACCCGGGTTCCAACAAACACCTTAAGTGGCATGACTCAGACTTTAGCCAGGTTAAAACAGTGGGAGTCGGACCACAGAAAAACCCTTTGTATAGGAATGTTGAGTTCAGTCTTTAGCACATGAGCTAACTGTGCACCTGTGAGAGCTGCACACAATTCCAATCTTGGAATGGACAGCTGCTTTCGTGGTGAGACTCGTGACCTTGCTGCTAGAAAGGCAATTTCCCTGAGTCCGTCTGGAGCTTCTGTGACCAAATAGGCAACTGAGCCATATGCCTGCTCAGATGCGTCACAAAAGACATGGATGTCTCTTTTGCTGTCCGGCAGATCTAACTTTTCTGTGGTGTAACATCGAGGTAAAGAGATCCTCTCTAAGTCAGGCAGCTCTCCTTGCCAGTTTTCCATATCTGTAGCAAATCCTCAGGAAGCCTTGGATCGTCCCACTCTCTTTTCTTATCCCAGAGTCGTTGAATGACAACCTTAGCTCTGGTGGTAAAGGGGATAATATATCCAAGAGGGTCATACAAGCTCGCCAGAGTTCTGTAAATGCTTCGCATCGTCACTGAGAGGTCACATGTAGGAAGATGTTTGTAGTGCAGCAGATCTGTAGGACAATGCCAGTGGAGTCCAAGTGTGGATTCAAATGTGTCGAGCTGATTCTGATTTATCCACAGATTGCTGCTAGTTGATCTGGCGTCTTCTGGGAGATGACTGATTACTGATGGCACGTTGCTCGCCCATTGTCTTAGATCAAATCCTCCTCAGCCAGGACATCTCTGAGTTTATCAACTAACATCTTTGCTTCCATTTCTGTACTGAAACTGTGAAGACAATTGTCCACATAGAAACTTCTTTCAACTGCCTCTCGGATGTCCTCTCCAGGCTGGCTGTGATTTTGGATATGCTTTTGCAGTGCATAAGTGGCACAGCATGGACTGCAGGTGGTCCCAAAGGGGAGCACTTGCCACTCATAAACACTTGGAGGTTCCTCCCTTTTCCAAGTCCCTCCAAAGGAACCGCAACAGTGGTTTGTCCTCAGGGAGAAGTCTCACCTGGTGAAACATTGCTTTAATATCACTGGAAATGGCCACAGTATGTTCACGAAAGCGAAGAAGTACAGCTAGCAAGGATGGACTTAAAGTAGGACCTGGTAGGAGTAGTTTGTTTAAGTTCTTTCCCTGATGTTGGAATGAACAGTTAAAAACCACTCTGCTTTTATTGTTGTGCTGCACCATGTGATGTGGGATGTACCAGGCTTCATCAGATTTCTCCACTTCTTCAGGCTGTAACTTCTGTATGTATCCAGCGTCTTCCAGTTTCTTCATTTCAGCCTTGTATGTTTCTGCTTGGTCAGGATTTTTAGCAAGTCTCCTTTCTATGTTTCTGAGGAGCGGTAGAGTTGCTTCAGGAGTAGCATGTAGGGATTCTGTACCTTTAATGCGGAGCATTGGGGTAGCATATCTGAGTACTCCGCCAACTTGAACTCTGACAGTCTTTTCTTCAAGGGTGCACAAAGCCTCACTATCTTGTCTTGACCTTGTCACTACCTTTGTGCTCCGATATGGAAGAACATCAAGTTGCCAGAGCTTTTCAACTTGTTGATGCAACTCAGTGGTGGGAGACTGAAATGAGGTGAAATGACATTGTTGTGTGTCTGATCCTGGTTTCACTCCTTCTGCAGGGCCCTGTAATGTCCAACCCAAGCGAGTCCTGACTGCTGCTGGGCCACCTTTATTCCCCAAGAGGACCGGTTCCATGGGAGTGATTAGATATGGGAAGTCAGAGCCAATCAGGAGAAGTGGCTGAACCGTGTTGATTGGCTGAAGTGGTAAATCTTGCAGATGTTTGTATTTTCGCTGCAGAGTAACAGTGGGTTGACTGTGTTCTGCAAGGTTTAGAGACTTAGCGGTGAAAGCCCGGTTGATCCAAAAGGTCTTTGCTGGTTGAGTCACAGGGGAGACAGAGAACGAAACTGCATGGCCATGGATAACCCTTGAGTCCTTTTTCACTGTGTGGAGTACAAGAGCTTCAGACTCCCCTTCCAAACCAAGCTCACGTGCTGCACTGTGAAGCAAAATGGTTCGCTCTGAACCATCCAAAATAGCGAAGACTTCCATACTTTTGTTCCCATTACTCAATCGGACTTTGGCTATTTTGAGAAGAACTTTATGCTTGGTTAAGGAACGTCCAACATAAAGTTTGTCATCCACACTGCTTGTTAGACAGGCACCCACAATGGTTCCCTGACCTGGGTGTTTCTCTTTCTCTGTAGTCTCCTCCTTTTCTTGCCATTTCTCATTTACATCATGTAATATCAGCAGGTGCCTACGTCCACATGTTTTACAGGTTGCCTTGAGAGTACATTTGGCAGACTGATGTCCTCTTCCACAACGCCAACAGCGGTTATTTGTTTTGATCCACTGTACTTTCTGTTCCTTTGTAAGCTGCTGAAAGTTCTGACAACCGTTCAGAAAATGACTGGAATGGTCACAGTAAGGACAGTAGGGTTTATTCTTGGCCTTCTCCTTCTCAGGAGTAGTGGCATTTTGCGTCAGTTCAGAAACCTTGGTCTCTCCTGATTTCCCAGAACTGAGCAGTAATGTTGTACTTCTTGAAGCTATCTTTTTGTCCTTTTCTGTGCTTCGTTTCCTTTGGCTGTCTCTAGTAGAAGTACAAAATCTGGTGTTGTCTTCATAAACCTGCATTTCAAAATCCAGCCATTCTCCAAGATCATACAGGGTTGGAATTGGAACCTTACTTGGATGTACTCTTCTTCTGAAACTGCTTCTAAGCTCGTGTGGAAGCTTGCTCAGCAATCTTGAAACATGAGATCCACAATGGAGTTCAATACTGCCTTCTCTTCCTAGTTGCTCTAACATGCCCAACAGGGAACGTATTCGTAGTGCAAACATGCGAAATGCTTCCCCGTCCCCACTTCGTATGTCTGGTCCATCCATCAGTTCTGCAATTCGTGCTAAGGCAAGCTGATGTGGCTGGCCAAACTGCATGAACAGGGCATCCATCGTGTCGGTGAAAGGATGTGGAGAGTTGCAAAAGGAATCTGCAATTAGAAGAGCTTCTTCTAGCTTGAGATGATCTGTTAGGACTTGATATTTAAAATGTTCAGAAGCACCAGCAGGCAGAATGTTATCAAGTGCAATCCTCAGCCTGAAGAACTCACGGGGGTCTGGATGCACAAAATAGGGTATAGTTGGAGCAGGACCACTATATGTACTTCCATGTTTAGATGTAGAATGTGAGTTTTGGACAATCCTACAGTCATAAGGATCTTCTCCTTTAAACGAAGCAGAAGGCTCTAACTTGGATAGTCTAGACGGGACTGACCTTGGAGCTGGCACTGGAGGTGTAGAGGTCTTTATTTTCGTTGAACTTCGTGGTGTAGGAACTGGAGCTGTTGAGAGGCTTTCTGTCACACTCTCTTCGCCTCTTCTATTCCCATACCTGTAGCCTCGGTCTGAATAATGCACACGCTGGTCTTCGTGAGGGAAAGTAGACTCATCTCTTATGCTTGAGGAAAGTGAATGATGCTCTACGTCCCTCTTAGCTTTCTGTAGTGTGCGAATCCTTGGCTTTGGGACAGGAAATGTTGCTGAGTGTACATTATATGTTGGTGAAGCAAAGAAGTTATCTTCAGCCTCGCTTGCTGTGAGTTTCTCCATTTTGGTTCCATCACCTTCAACGTTTCCAGGACCGTGGACATCTGTGCTGCTGTTTGTCGCAACTCTTGCAATTCTCTCTTCATCTCACGGTTACTGTGATATAGATCATCTCTATCTCTTGTGAGCTCCAAAATAGCTTCACGTTGGTACTGATTTTCAGTCCGTAAACACTCCTTTTCTCTCTCAGCTTCGTCAGCATCTTCCACTGATCCAGCACTTTCCAATGGTTAGGACTAGGTTGCTGGCTGATGGGTGCGCTATAGTGATCTTCAGCATCTGAATCACTGACATCTGATAGGAGTATCTGTGCCCTAAAAGCAGGTTCATGCACAGGCTGAAACTCCATCCTATAGTCTGCCGTATTACTTCGTGTAAGTGCAAGTCGTCTGGGCCTTACCACGGGCGTGGGTTCGTCATCTCCAACTTGAGTACTTGTCGCCATGTCCTGCAATATTTCCAGCTCCGGCTCGAAGGACCAATTGAACTGAAGTGCGTGGTAATGGATGTCCGAAAAAACTGCAGGTATCCGGTCAAAGATGTGGCGACCTTTTATTAATACTCAGCTTACAACTCTTAATGTACAAAAGTAAAATCAGCAAACATCACGCCTTTTATATTATAGCTGCAAAGCTGTTTAACTACGGCAAAAAATTACTGTAACAAAAAAACTGTTCGGCACACTCTAGAACGTTCCAACACATCAAGACTCTGATAGGTTGTTGTCGACCATGATTGACAGGCAGACCAGCCAATCACAATCCAGCGAAGTCCACAAGGCACAGTCCAACACTTTGGGTATTTTCCACAGCCTGTCTATAATTATCATAAGCAAACCCTGATAGGTGAAAGATCATTGCTGGTTCACTGCAGAAGAATCCAGTTTTAGTCTTTCAATGAAAACTTTAGTCATTTAATTTATTTTCACGTTCAAAACGTTCACCCTAATCCCTGTTGATTTTCTGAAACATTTCCCCATTTAGATGTTTCTTTGCTTCTCTTTTAGATTGAGTGCATGTATACACAACACCCATGTGGGAGCCCATATTCTCAATGTGTCAGCATGTTCTGTGACTGCTTCTTAACTTATCATTTCATACTGGTTTGACAACATCACATGTCCTCATAATTTAGTATTCTGTGTTGTCAGTTGTTATATTGTATCCCTGAACCTGTCCTGCCTCTCAGGTATGGCTCCAAGGCCCATGTGGACAGATGGGAGGAGGTGACAAAAGAGATTGAAGCTTCAGGAACTTATCAACTAAAAGACACTGAACTGATTTATGGAGCCAAGCACGCCTGGAGAAATGCTGCCCGATGTGTGGGACGGATTCAGTGGTCCAAACTACAGGTTGTACCCAATATGTCAAGGATTCTGTATCTTGTTAGTAAAGTTTCAGATGAAGATGAGCTGAGAAAAGTTGTTTGTTGTCATGCCGAAGGCTCTGGACAATGTGGGGACAGATTATCAAATCTTGCATTATGGATGACTGGTATGGCTTTTGTGCTGTCCTTGGACCAGTCCACCAAAAATGTCTGAGAAGTTTTTGAACAAATCATGAGAGTTTATTTGTCCATTTCACATGTATTGTAAAAAAATGACTTATAAGTGTCCTCCATACTTCTGGAGAGTGCTTTAGCAGCATTACTCACAGGGATGCTTGGTAATTATTGGTAATTATACACCCAAACTAGAAGCTGTCTCTGCTTTCCTGACACAAACTTGAACTTCTTGTTTCAAATCTTGCTTGTGAACAGGATCTTCAGGTGTAGAAATAGAAAAGAGGGCATGCAGTTCACGAACCATGTTTTCGTGAATCATGTGATAATGGTGGCTTTTCAGGGCATAGGGTGCACTGGATTGGTTTTCAGAAACTGGCCTAAAGTCTGCTGGTTTTAGTAAAGCTCTTACTAAAATGTTGTAAAAACAAAACTTTAATTTCATGTTTCATATTTGCTTTTTCAGGTTTTTGATGCCAGAGACTGCACAACAGCCCATGGAATGTATAACTACATCTGTAACCATATCAAGTATGCCACCAACAAAGGCAACCTTCGGTAAAACCACACACCAAGTTAATACTATTTATACTATTACTTCTTTTCAGTTTTCCTACTGTTACAGCTCTGCCCCAGTTCCTCTCATTGCATCTGATCCATCTGTCACTCCATGTAGCTCATCACCCCTCTCCATCTCCAACTACCCCGACTTGACCCTCTGTCCCATCTGTCAATGTGCGCTCTGTCTCTTAACGTCGTATATGACACTATCTGCTGCCTGTCTATTTATCCGTCAGCACTTCAGCACCAATCACTGCCCGGCTGGTAAGGCGGCAGACCTCACTAACAAGCAGTCATTTGTCAGACCCCTGCGCTGCCCTCACACACGTTCTGCCAAGTCCTAATCATAAGTGACATCTCACATTTACTTCTCGTAAGATGGATGCATCCTGACTCATTACTACAAGTCTCCTGGCCCTCTGAAAGCTGGCTCGGATGCAGGTCAAAAAGAGGCGCCACACAAACGAGACTGAAATTCTGGCTTGTCTGCTTTAACATCAATCAATAAAAAGTGTTTAAATTGTAATATTGTTCTTTATAAATCACCAAGGGAAAAAATGTTGAACATTATAATTGAGGACCTCATAAGCCACTGTTATGGCTTCTCCATCTTAGTTATCAGTCAGCAGTCATACCTGAATAATCTATAATCTGAAATCCTTTTTAAATTTGTTATTCTTTTTTCCAATGTAATAAAATCTGAAGTAATTTAAAGATGGATTATGTTTCCAATTATCTGCATCTTTGTTCTATAATTAAATTGAGAAGTAGAACATTTTATTATGATAAAAAGCAAGCAGCTAATCTGCTAGAAGCTTTATAGCAGCCTTTCTTCACCACATTAAAGGACTGGGACATTTTATCTGATTATTGCTGAACTAAACAATAAGCGCATCAAAGATCATCCTGTTAAAGAGTTGTTGCATTTTCTGATTAGGGAAGCAAATTATTATTCACATTTTTTCTTTTTTCTTCTCAATTTGAGCCAATGAAAAGAACTATTGGTGGTTTTGATCACTGGCTAGCTGATTATGCATTACCACAAATGACTGATCACAACATGTTCTTCCAAAGAGAAATGTTTGCCTATAAGTTGTTTCCACTGGATGCAGACTTGCAGCCCATCTGGCCCAGATTCAGACAAGCTGTTCAGTAATCCATCACACCCTCCTCAGTTACTGACAACCAGCTTACCAACATTAACAATTTCACCGTGTAAAGAGCATTAAAACACCAGTTGGATCTAGATTGGGCAACATTTAGCCAGGCTTTGACAGTATCATCCATCAGGAAGTGGTCTAGTTGATGAATGCAGCACTTACATCACCTGATGTGTTGTTGCCTCACTTCAAAACCAGCGTGTACAGAAGCCACACACTTGCAGAGATGTCAATATAGCACAGCATTCTCTTTTTGCCTGTACTTAATTGCATTTCCTTATTCCTCTTTTGTAGGTCAGCAATCACCATATTTCCACAGAGAACTGATGGCAAACATGATTTCAGAGTGTGGAACAGTCAGTTGATTCGCTACGCAGGTTACAAACAACCTGATGGAGGTATTCTGGGAGACCCTGCTAATGTTGAATTCACAGAGGTACAGATCAGTTATATGCAGAATCAGAATTGTCCGTCTCTTTGGCTTTTCTTTGGCTAACATTCGGAACTTTCATCCTTAGATCTGTATGCAGCTTGGATGGAAAGCACCAAAAGGTCGATTTGATGTCCTTCCACTTCTGCTGCAAGCCAATGGAAATGACCCTGAGCTATTTGAGATCCCTGAAGACCTAATTCTGGAGGTGCATATTGTACATCCAAAGTGAGTTCTGCTTTTTCTCTTTGGCATGCATAAAACATACAGAATGCAACAAAATGACAACAGAAGAGACTGTACTGAGGGACATCCACCCACTTACACATCTTTTTAACCGCACTTCTCAAACAATAGGTTCCTTTCATGTCAAGAAAGCTAATTGGTTATCTTTGCATTCCACATGTGCTGATTATTCCCTGAAAGCACAACTAGGGCTAGTGTGTTTTTTTGGTGGTAACCAAGGGACTTATTAATGGAAACTTCCAGCTTCTTATTTGTCATTTGTTTTGTTTACTTTTCCTGCAACAGAATATCTGAAGCCAAATCTCAAAAGCTGTAAAACCCTTGGTATCTTAATCATTAAGATCATAACTTGCACGGTACCATTGCAATTACACAAAGAATTCGGTTTTCCTGCTACAGCATTATTCACAACTACACACTTACAGATGCACTCCAAGCTATAACAGCATTGTTAAACACTACAGAGTGTTTCAGAATCCCTTGACACACAGATCACCCTGCCAGACGCTTCCAGATTTGGCTTTCTTTTCTCCATACACATGCATCAGCTGGCCCTTAGCTCTGGCAGCAGCTTGGCACAAGCTCCGGCCACGCACAGTGTCTCATCATTACACAAGATTAAACCCAGTGCTGCAAATAATAGACTGAAAGCAATGCTATCAATCCCCCCAAAGGTTTCAACAGGCCACACTTCCTTTGGCCAGAATTACAAAAGCCTTAACAATGGGTTTCATTTTGGTAATGTTAGTTTTTGGACACATTAACTTTTTAAATGTCTCAGAGGCAATTACACTGGCTCTTAAGGATTCTAGTGATGAAGCATATTTTGAGCTTGGCAGTGGATAATGAGCAAATTATCTGATGTAGCCCTTTAACTACGTCACAATTGTCTCCTTCACCAGGTATGAGTGGTTCAAGGACCTGGAACTGAAGTGGTACGGCCTTCCAGCAGTTTCAAACATGCTGCTAGAGATTGGCGGTCTTGAATTCACTGGATGCCCCTTCAGTGGCTGGTATATGGGCACAGAGATTGGCGTGAGGGACTTCTGTGACACCTCACGCTACAACATTCTGGAGGTATTTTTTTGTGCCTGAAAATACAGTCATGTGACGCTGGAAGCAGGAAAGAATTGAAGGCACAGATTGACTGCAGCCTTGTGTCAAGACAAGCATGTGTTGTGTCATCAAATGAGCCAAAAACAATGTGATTATGCAAAATGGATAGAAATCTGATTAGCGAAAAAAATAAGGGTTTGTGTGTTATGGTGTTAAGCTATATCTAAGCAATCTAGACCCTAAAGAATCCTTTATGGCCTTCAGTTAAAAGAAAGGTGATATCACAGCTGGAGAATGCTGAACAGACTGTTGTTTTTGTCTTTGTCAAATGTCATATATCAATTCTCAGACATGTAAAGAGAAAGGTTTCCAAAGATTTCTTCCCAAATCAGAGCAATCCAATTTTGAGGAGCACTTCAAGGCACATGGGTGCCAGCTTTGGCTTCGTCTTGTAACTCAAGTGCTTAAATTGTGGAGAAGGCTGTTGGCTTCTTGCTGCCCTTTGGGTTTTTCTGTTTCATTCAACTCTAAGTAATTTGCCAAATATGAAACCATGGTTTTTAACTCAAAGACCTTGCATGCAAGAAATAATCTATTGACCAATTACAAGTTCTTAAAATAAAATCAATACAGTCTTGCATTAAGATATGACTTCTTGTTCTGCATTTTCACAAAATGCAAACATAACAAAAACATAAGCAGAATATGGGCACGATGTATGTAAAAGTAAACACACATCTAGAGTATAAATGTACCACTCATAGGAATAGGAATAACAGTTTTCTGGGCTGAATGAAAGAAATGTGTAAAGATAAGATAAGTGACCTTGGAGAAGCAAATTGAAAGGTTATTTGGTAATTTTTGAAATTTCACTGTGGGGGGCTGTGCTCTAAAGGGTTCTGGGTGGGAGTTATTTTCATTTAGAAGACATTCCAAACATTTGTCAATTTTCACAGGTATTCCCACAAATTCCCTCTGAGGTCAGACTTTGGATTGGTGTGGGTAATCGCCAACATCTGAAAGAGATTTCTTTGATTCTACATCCTACTGGTATTAAAGTTTACTGCAATACAATCAGCAAAGCAATCAATGAGTTTATCAGGAAAGCCATTCATCTCTGTGAAGAAAACTGGTTCATGACTTAGGATAGCTGTTACTGAAAGAACATCAGAAACTCTGGAAACCTGCTATTGGGAGAGACAAGATCAAGGTTGAGATATCTGATAATTCACATTGACATGTTTGGTGAAAACCAAACTCAACAAATCACTACAAACTGTCATATCAACTGTCAAGCACTTGTTGATGAGCTCTTCTGTATAACGTCCAAAATCAATTGTGAGGCTGCCTGACAGGTGAACCTGGGCAGAAACTGTATGCAACAGAATTATATACTACTGGATCTTTAAGAAAAAGTCTATGTAGCAATATGGCTTACTCTTTCAAAATATATAAACTTTAAAACCACATAAAATTTCTGTTTTAGACATTTAACAAAAATGGTCATGTTTGATTATGTATGATTGGCAAAAACAGCTAACAGCACCAATCACACAAGGAAGTAAGAAAATTAATTTGGCTCAAGTTGCAACTACAGGCTTGGGTACCTGGAAGTGATGAATTATAGAATGAACTTTCTCTGTAAAAGTATGGCACCCAAGAAAACAGAAAATATAAAACAGATTTTGCAGTAGCATATTTGAAGTGGAATTTTAACTGAACTGTTCTGAAACATGTAAATGTAAACAGAATGAAAGTAAAATAAAAAAATGTAGTACAAAGTGATGTAAAGATGCTTTCATATATATGATGGCTTAAAATTACTTCTGTAAACAGTTGCTTATAGGTTGTTGTTTTTTTCTCATTTCTTGCCAACCACATTTTCGTCTTGTCATAGATTTTCATAGATTTTTGCCTAGTGTTCTGTGTGTCTGTGATATGCACCAAATCATTAGGCCATTCAGGGACCAGATCTAATGGTCCACTTCACATTTGATTGAAAAATCCAAGCTTTTGGGAAAGCCATCTATAAGCAAACCTTTTCATCAAACAGAAAAGCATATTGCATACAATTGGCTTTCACATTAATATCATATAATTTGTCTTATGTTTTGTAGGATGTTGCCAACAAGATGGGCTTAGACACCAGGAAGACATCTTCCCTTTGGAAAGACCAGGCACTTGTGGAGATTAATATTGCTGTTCTCCACAGCTTTCAGGTGATTGCATCCTTTGCTTAAAGTTGTTCTGAATATAGATTTCAAGGGATTTAAAGGTGTGTGCATTTTCCTCTTGGGAAAAGAGAGCCTTTTGTCATATTGGATTCACAGCAAGTTCCTTGTTTACTAAAGTAATCTCATCTCCACAAGCGCCCTTCTGAGTTATATGCTCAATGTAGAACTACACATCGTAAACAAAGCTTAATAAAATGTTGACATTTTCATGGCTGTAGTGCAAAGCGATAATATGGGGTACTTTAAGAACAGATATTAACTGCACCAATATTCAGATAACACAGATAAAACACATAAGAATAAAACACAAATTAGAACAGATGGGGCAAGTAAATTACAATGTAGGCCTTATGGAAAAGCTAAAGAATAAAAGGAGTTTTAAGAAGTGGTTTAAAGTGTTCCAGACTATGGGCAGATCTAATGTTAAAAGGCCCATAATTCAGAGCATTTTTATCTCTCATAATTCAATTAACTTCCTGAAAATTCAAGTGAAATTGGAGAACCTCCACAGAATCCAGTCTTTCGATAAAACAATTTAACATAGCTATTTGTGTTCCACAGAATGGAAGAGTGACGAGAGGAAAGCTGTTTGTAAAGAAAAGTCTTACAATGTCCCATTTTCAGTTTGCTAAAATAAACATTGTGGATAAAGCAATAATACTTTGGTCATGTTAAACCTTTGTGGTCAAAGTACAAAACTGTTTGGAGCAAAATAATTTCCTCAAAAATTACCCAATATACTCATTGTCCAGGATGAAGCATGGTGGTAGCAGCATGATGCTCAGGGCATGTTTTTAATCAGCTGCAAATATTGAACAGTTCATAATTGATCATAGAGCTGAATGCAAGATTAGTGTTAAAGTAAACATGCTGCCCTGAAAAACATTGGAGCACAGCTTGAATGGCTCTGTGAAAATTTAGATTCATTCTGAAGTTGTGACAAGACTAAGACATTTCTTTTTATAAATTAAGCTATTTTACAAAGAATATCAAAAATAAACTTCAGCCTTTAGAACAGAACTATGTTAGAAATTTTCTCTCAAGATTTGATTTAAATGGCAACAAAAGGTGGAACAAAATTGTAGTGGGCCCAGCATATAAAACAGTCATACTTATGTAAGTTCTAGTAAAATAAAAATCATGTGTTATTTTGCTGCTTTATTTAATATGAACATTTTGTGTTGTTCTACTTAATACTTGAACTGTGTGTGGGTGAAAAAGTCCAAAATACAAGAGGTATGATTTCTTTTGCAAAGAAATGTTCAGTTTCTGAAGCAAACTGGCAATTAGAATTGTTTTTTTGTTTTTTTTGCATGTCAGTATTCTTTATCACTGGAGGATTAACCTAATTTCCAGTTCTAACAGCCTTCCACAACTTGTTCCTCTTGGCTAAACATGATAAGGGCATTTTGGGAAGAATAAAAGCTAATGACTCAAGATCCCTATTACCCATGTTTAGAGCTGTGCGTTTTCTCAGACCAGCTAATTTGAATTTGCTCTGTTGGGCCACTTTTTTTTTTCTATTATGCTTTTTCAAATGTTTTGTGTACTATACATTATAATGGGATGACATGTGCCTCCCACAGTGGTTTCTCCCGCGTTGGCAAGTTATGCAGTGATCTGAGTGGTTTTATTTAACAAAAAATGTATCTGTTTTGTTGGAAATTTTATTGTAATATTGGTTTGTAAAGTTGCATTATGAAGAATATATATTTCCTTATGTCTACATGTCAAAAATCCAAATACAGACTACCTAAAAACTGTTACATTTAGGGAATAAACATACTCATTTTGCAGAATATATTATATTTTGCCAATAACTGTGTCCGACTTGCAATCTGTTAAATTGGCTTTATTTTTTTACCAGTCAGTGATATGTGTAGTATCCACAGTATTATTTCAAAACCACTGAATTGAGCAGTGCTTGACAACATATGGAAAAGGGACTCGCATTCATTAATTTTGGGTACTAGATGCGTTGCGCAACTTTATTTGAGTCATTCTTGGTAAACCTGAATCCATGTAATGACACACTTATTGCATAGTTCTTTTTTTAAGGATTGGGAAGTTTATTTCCAGGTCCCTTTGTTCCGTACGTTTCTTCATTTTCCATTCCTTACTTATAAAATATTACCTTTCCTCCCATATTCTTGCTTTATACTTCAGACTTGTAAAGTGACCATAGTGGACCATCATTCAGCCACAGAGTCCTTCATGAAGCACATGGAGAATGAATATCGGGTGAGAGGAGGCTGCCCTGGAGACTGGGTGTGGATTGTGCCTCCAATGTCAGGAAGCATTACTCCAGTCTTTCACCAAGAAATGCTCAACTACCGTCTCACACCTTCCTTTGAGTACCAGGTGAGAGGGATGCAATTAAAAAGAACCCCTGCAGACCAAGAGTGGCTGCCTTAGATGTGAAACATTTTTTTTTGTTAAAAAATGTCTCATTTTTTATTTATTTATTTTTTTTTTCTGTGTGCAAAAGCCTGATCCTTGGAACACCCATGTGTGGAAAGGAGTCAATGGGACACCCACAAAGAAAAGAGCCATCGGATTTAAGAAGCTTGCCAAGTAAATATGCTTGCTAATATTAAATTAGTGATTTTCTTTATTGGCTCACTCAAAGGGCCAAGTATACATTACAGCCCCAAATGTCAAAGACAATAGATTGTGTGTAATGCTAATTTACACAAGTAATCACTCTACTGATAAAAGCAAGACCCATGAAAGGGAGGCTAATGTGCTCAGCAGTGAAATTCATCCAATCAACCCCTCTGGGAGTAATCAGAGTTCTGTCAGTTTTCTTGTCTGTGCATGTATGATCTGCTATTAATATAATTGCCTCAAGGAAAGTACAAGCTAGGTAATCAGTATTACCACCCATCCGTAGCTACCTGCAACAGCAGCTCAATAACAATTGCTTTGTGATCATGGCAGGAGACACAATGACTCCACACTGTGCCCCGAATTAGCTTACCTGGATGGTTCAGATGCTTGCTCTTTTTATTTTCTCTGCATCTCATTCGCGTCGTCTCTCTTTTATCCCCTCCACAGGGCTGTGAAATTTTCTGCAAAGCTAATGGGGCAAGCCATGGCCAAGAGGGTTAAAGCCACCATACTGTTTGCTACTGAAACAGGAAAATCACAAGACTACGCCAAAACTCTCTGTGAAATCTTCAAGCATGCCTTTGATGCCAAGGTACTCTTGCGCCTACCTTGCATCAGTGTTTCCAAAGGTTGAGCAAGATGTTTTGATCGATTTCAGCAAAATCTAATTGGAAAAGTACAAATTCAAACAATTCCTCTCTTCTCTCTGTCCCCTGTCTGATGAAGCCAATTAAATACAAACTGAGACTTGCAGAGAAAAACTGAAAAGTTTTTATTTTCCGATGTCATCTTTTTATCATGCAGTGAAGTGTCAGAGTTCTGGACCAATTTTACTCACTGAGGCATTGAACAGATAGTAGTTTAAGACAACATCCTGAAACACCTTTGGCTGTGCAAATCTGTTAAGGAGGAAAAGATGCTGCTCTCTATCATGTACTTGGTGCATTTCCTCTAGGGTGCATCTTGATTCTCCTGTTTTCGCAGTGTGATCAATTACACAAGAAGACAGTCATGCATGCAATTGTGCGTCACAGAGAGTGGGTGTGCACAAATGGAGGGCAGATGTGAACGCCTGGGGCAAACTTTTGTTGTTGAAGGGCTAAAGCCTGTTTCCTCTTCACGCCTTTTGCTTGTGCAGCTTTGCATGTGTGTGTATGAAATCGGTGCGTGGCCCATGGCAGACACGCACCCTACTGAGTTGTGTGCATCATGGCTACTGAATGTGCGTGGCAGCAGCATATTATCATCTCGTTAGAGGTGAAGACAGAGTGGTCATTACAACCTACTCCTTTGCCAGCGGCTGTGTGTTCGGCCCTAATTTACAGGCTCAAGGCATCTGTTGAGTGGAGTGTGCAGAGAGGAGTGAGATGAAAACTAGAACATATTGGTAGCTGAGATCTACCAATATGTTCTAAGGAGAGATCTTTCATCTGCAGGTCATGTCCATGGATGAATACGATGTGGTGGACTTGGAGCATGAGACGCTGGTTTTAGCTGTAACCAGCACATTTGGCAATGGAGATCCACCTGAAAACGGAGAGGTAAAGTTCCTCAAAACGTATTTTCAAATTATCATAGCACAATAACAATCTTTCACTTGCTGGTGCAGAAATTCGGAGCTGCCTTAATGGAAATGCGCCACCCAACTTCCAACACAGAGGACAGAAAGTGAGTACAACTGTGCCCTCTTGACCCTCATTTTTTTTAAGAAATATTCCTTCTCACCCCTCTGTTTTTCCGTATCAACAGGAGCTACAAGGTCCGATTCAACAGCGTGTCTTCTTACTCAGACACTAGAAAGTCCTCCAGTGATGAACCAGAGGCCAAGATCAATTTTGAGAGCACAGGACCTCTTGCTAATGTCAGGTAAATTTGTTAAGAATCAATTTTGTCATTATAACTAAAAGCTTTCTCAAAAAATCCCATCAAATTCACAAGAAAGTCACATGTGAAACCCATGTACCATATTGAAACCACATTATGTGGTTCACACAAACATTCATGTGTGAATGACATGTAAATGATGTGAATCACATGTAAAAGCACATGTATACATGCGATTTTGGAACATTTCATGGTAAAAGAAAAAACTGTGATCCCCATGTTTTCATGTGAAAAAACAGGAAACATGTATGTTGGATACACATACATGTGTATTCCATATAAATTATGTGCATGTGATATACATAGATGTGATATACATGTATGTGATACCTATGTAGCTATACCTGTATGTCACAGCATTCGCCTGTGACATACATGTGATATCCCAGGCATATCAGTATGTTGTGCTCCACTCAAAGGGCTTTACACGAGAATCACATTCACCACTGACAAATGCACACATATTTATGCACTAATACGCAGATTGGTAAGTTGGAATCAAACTTACAACCTTCCGACCACAAGACAACTACTCTGCCCACATAGCCACAGTCACTCTGACTGGTTTTCTCAAGGTTTACACATTTGAAAGACATGCATCATAAAATAGTTGAAAATATATACATTTATAAAGTAATAGGAACCACATTTCTTTACCATGAAAATGTCCAAATTCTTCATGTAATTCTCTTTTTATAACATGGGATGAATATGATGAATATGAGGTCACATGTTGATCTCATATAATTTTATTAGTCATAGCTGCACACCAAAATAAAGTTGCTGCTATGAATAAAGAGTTCCAGGACAGTTTATGTATATATATATATTTATATAACTATTTATTTCTGTTTGAAACTGAAGCAACTTTTAACATCTGAGCATGACACCATACAGATGTGACCCAAATCAGACCCAGACAACCAACAGAGGGGGAAAAAAGAACTTCAGGTAAAACCTCAGCGACTGGGCTTTCACATTGTTTCCGGAGCAACTATAGCATTCGACTGTGACCCTTCTGAGTCTCCTTAATGTCTTCAAGGAGGCTTAGAACACACTCACATGTTGGCATTGGTGGCTTGTATGGGGTCTTCTTAGACTTGGTAATAACCACAGGTGAAGGCTCTGTGAGTGGTGGTGCTCAGGTGGTGTGTTTCCTTCTCCAGTGCTGAAGGTGGTGAGGTCTCTGGCGGTTCTGCTGTCTTGTCCCATTCATTCCTCGTCTGAGCTTTACTGGATTGGTGGCTTCAAACAAAATAGAAAAATTAATAAAACAAAGCTCTTATGATCTTTTACATTGGTGTGTAATTTGTCAGAATGGCATGGGTGCCCTGCTCTAACAACTGTTCTGCTCAATAAAGAAGCACAACATGATGGTGTTTGGTGACTAATTAGACTAAGAACACACTTAAGTTAATAAAAACTATGATTCTCTTGGCATTTAAAAGGAAAATCACAGTTATTAAAAACAATAACAGGTAAATTTATATTTTTGACCTGGGAGAATAAAAACGTCAATGATAACTTATGATGTCATCATAATAATGAACTCAATCATCAGTCACTGATGACTGCACACGCTCCGTACACAAAGGGAGAGGAGAGAAATGGTCGTTTTATTATAACTATCTTCAAAACCGGCCTTCTTTGTTTGTGTTCAATCACACTCTCCGTGGTTCTTTGAGTCTCAAAACCTCAGAAATGGTTCTGTAACACTTCCCAGACTGATAGACAGCAATTACTTTGTCATCTGCTCTTTTTTTAGGTTGGGGCATGTGATGTTTTTTGAGACATTTTAGCTTGTTTGATAAAATAATTTGACAGCGGTTGTAAATTACTGTGATGTGAAACATTAAGTGTGGCCAAAATGATAAACTGCGTGAAACTGGAAGGAGTTTTGGGGCTACATTTTCATAGCCATGTACTTGTCTGAGCAGTATTGGGTTTCATGACACCAAACAGAAATGAGGAAAATATAAAGGATTGAGACAGATAAATGGGATTCAGGACAGAAATCTGATTTCTAGTCCATTAACTTGAGTTTTTCCTTGTCTGAAGAGGAAAATTTCCAGCTGAACTGAATTGTTACATGATGTAACTTGTATTTTACATGTCACCGCTTTCATTCATTAATACTTTTCTACTTCACTGATCCCTGCCTGCAGGTTCAAAAGTTTGCCAGCTGTGCGCCCTTTGTCATCAAGCTCACACTGTATTTTGAAACTGAAATTGCCTCCACCTCTACTAGTTTAACCTCAAACAATCCTTGCAGCATCGTCTTAAATCACGTATCCTTCTAATTGATGCTAAGAAGAATATTCCTTGAAATGTTGCTCTTTAGTCATACCAGCATGTTGCCTTTAGGTTCATATAGCAATGTTTCTACATGCTATATGAAATCTGCTGTGGATTTGTTACTATTAAGTGTCACACTAAAAGAAAAACTTCTCAAAATGAAGATACTGTGAATAATTGTTCAATCATCTGTTCCAGACTGTGATGTTTGATGTAAGGGTTTTAAGCATATTTTGCACCCTGGGACACTGCATTATTTAATGCTCATGTCAGCAGATTTTGATTAAAGATTATTAATCTCAGAACGAAGCTCAAAACTTTCTCACCTTAGAGGCTATATAAAGAGATTAACTACTCAATGGGGATGATAAACATCCCAGTGTTGCATTACAGAAATATACATTATAAGAAAGTATTTGCCATCTTACAGAGTTTGTTTCAGATCATCAGTCAAAATCATCGTTCTAATTATCAAAGAGCAACCAAGATCTAAATAAATTCAAGAATGAGACATTGTTTTTGTTGGCACCCTTTTTTCTTGAAAGACTCACATTGCCATTTCTATGTGTTTTGGACTCCAGTGAACAAAAATGAGTGTCATTATTCACAAATCAAGAAAACATGGAACAATAGTGAAATAATACCAAAATCACGGCAAATTCACTCATCTAGGAAGTCACAAATGATTAAAGGACAGCATAAAAATGGGCTAACAATGACATCCATGAGTGTTCTAAGCCCAAAGCTGATGCTGATCATAAATGATAAAATTTGACCATACTGTCATAATACACTAATATTATGGGATAAAACTAACACAGCATTGCAGTAAAGGAAAATAGTATTGAGATGGTAGTGGTAATGTGAAAGTCTGTTTTTATTTTTTTGTTTTTTATTTTACTATTTCAGGACCTGGACGGCTTGCCGTAAGTGATGGAATCATGAAAAAAAAAAAAAAAAAAACTTTTGTTTTGTCTCAAGTTAAAAGCATTATGCAATGCTTTAAACTCAGCATTGCATAATAGTGTATGAAATAGTTTGATTGGTATTAAGGTTTCTAAAAGTGACATACCAGCCTTGTAAGCTAAAACATGTTGGATCAACATGTTTACCAACAACAATAAAGGTTCTGTAGTGACAGTTGTTGGTCCTCCGTCTTTGTGTTTTGCTTTTAAGTCATATCTTTCTGTTTGTACTTTTGATGCATTCATTGTTGTATAGGTTCTCAGTGTTTGGCCTTGGCTCCCGGGCCTACCCACACTTCTGCGCCTTTGCCCACGCTGTGGACACGCTTTTTGAAGAGCTGGGGGGTGAGCGCATCCTACGCATGGGAGAAGGAGATGAGCTGTGTGGCCAGGAGGAATCGTTCAGAACATGGGCCAAGAAAGTTTTTAAGGTTTGTTCCTTAGGTGAAGAGCTCAAGTGCTTGTGTTGTGGTTGGATAAAGTGCATCGTGACATTAAAAAAAAATAAATAAATGTTGGTTACCTTCCAAGGCAAATTTTAAAAGCCTGCGGCCACAGAGCATCACAAACAACACCAAAAAGCCATCGAACGCTTTCAAACAACTTTACCTTATAAAGTGACACTTTTATGTTGTTTGATAAAACCTTGAGACAGTAAAAGGAATTATTGCTGTCTGATTTCTAAAGTGTTCAAGTAAATTTCAAGTAGATTTATTATGCAGTAGATTTGAAGTTATTTTTGTTTGTTTTTTCTAACAGCGATGTTCTTTCCTGTGGTTGACATTGCTTTACAGGCTGCCTGTGATGTGTTCTGTGTTGGTGATGATGTAAACATTGAGAAGGCCAATGACTCCTTGATCAGCAACGATCGCAGCTGGAAGAAGAGCAAGTTCCGCCTGACGTACACGGCCGAGGCCCCTGCGCTGACTGAAGGTAGTAATCGTGTGGGAGCATAGCTACGAACTGCTAAGGGGTGACTTGATTTTAAGCGGACAATAAGTGCTGATAAGTAGCTTTACACAAAATAACTGTGATTTATCAGTGACTCAGCTATTACATCACCTGGAGATGTGATCCGAGGCTTGACTGTGGAAAGAGATTTTAATGCAATTTCAAGCGATTTTACCTTTCTAAAGGCTTGAGTCAAAAATAACACATTTGGTCTGTTCATGTGAGAAGCTCAGCTTTATAAATGATGTTTTCATTGCAGATAAGGGTGTAAAAGGATTCTAATATATAAGGAATTCTGTTTATTTATGTAAATTAATGTTTACCAGTGATTTAGTCCCAAAGCAGTATAAGCAAAAATAGTATGGATAACTGCAATTTAGAAGCCAATAACCGTTTTCTGTCAAGTTGCCACCCACACAAATATTCTACTTGGACTAAGAGAGTTGAGGCTGCAGTCAGTTGTAGAGAAATATTGAACCGAGATGCACAAACAGAGGCAAGTTTAATATCAAGTAAGAGGACCCAGAAAAGCAGCGAAGTTCTGATTGTTAAATCAGAGTGCATTTACAAATGCATCTAAACGAATTAATATATAATTGAAAGGTTATTTCAGTAAATAAAATCAATGCAAGAAGCTCATAATAAATGAATTACAAACAAATATTTTATCATGTCTAAATAATAAAATATTTTCTTGGTTGTCAGCAGAGGAAAGCATAAAGCATGCTAATGTTTCCTGGTTGACCACTGAAGATGTTTTTTATGTTATCACTTTCTGAATAAACTATGGTTTTTTTCAGTTTGAAGCCATTATTATCAATAGTATACCTCATTTTTCTTTAATTTTCTTTTCTGACTTGAAAATGTTTTTGCTCTGAAAAGATGCAACAGTTCAGCATGCTGCACTTATGTTGGCTTAAACATACCCCTGTAAAGTTAAAACTGATATACAGTTGCATTTTTGTGTCTCTTATGGTAATTGTTTATCACAGGTAAATATTGATCATTTACATGACGACTTTTTGGTCAATAGTTGCCAAGCTATAAAAACAATAATATAACTGTAATTTTAAAGTGTGAAACCATATTTTCTATCAACTAACCACCCACACAACAGTGGAGTTGCCTTGAAGTATTGATGAGGAAGCAACAAACAGCTTTCCTGCAGTTGTGCAAACTAATGGCTCAGAAATACAAAACCTGGGAGAATTAGGAAACAAAAGGGTTGAAACTAGAAAATTACTACTAGCACACTTACAGTAGAGGACAATTAAAATATTTACTCTGTTATGTATTGAAAATCTGAAGAACTACTGTAAAATGAGATGATTCTTAACATTAAAAATAACATTTAATTGTGAAATGTGGTAATTTAATCTCTTAGAGTTGTGCTATACTATTTACACATCTGTCTGCAATTGGGAAAAGCAAATGCCAAGAGGCAGATCATACAGTTTACATAGAAAATAAGAGGCATTAAATGTGATAGTTTGCAATGAAAAATAACCATGGATAAAAAAAACATGGTGATTATTAAAAAAATTGAATAAAATATCTTTGTTTGTTATTGTTAATATTATCCTCTGTAAAGGTTACAATTAGTGTAATGGTGTTTGCGATGCACCCACGCACTAATTAGTTCTACTGCATTGTTCATCTGTGGATAAGCTCATTCTATCTAGAAGTTGTTTACAAATATATACAATAAACATAGTTAATAGAATATTTTAAAATCACTTCTCCCCTCTTTACTAGAGATAATTGTTTTTCTTTTTTTTATTTCCACCAACTCAGATTGGCTCTTGCCCCCCACACCAATAAGTAATAATAACTGAAAAAATAAAATAAAATATTCTCTATCTTTGTGTAAAGGTCAAAACTCCAGCAAACCCTGAAGTTTAATGAAGCAGCTTTATTAGAAGACAGACAAGTTTCAGTCTGTGACTCTGAAGAAAGTTGGTATTTTAATAAAAGTGCCTCCTAGACCTTAAGGAGTCACTGGAGATTCCTCCTTTCTGGACCTCTTCCACACACCTTAGGATTCAGTGAAACTGTGCTAGAAACAATTTAAATATCTGTGTAATAAATGTATAAAATACTTTTCAAATGGAATTCCTAAAAACCTTTTGATGATGTTCTAACTTATGGAGAAAGTCAAAACTAAGTGGATGAATGACAGAAAGCTTAATCAAATAAGGATGCTGTGCTACAAAAAAATAAAAATCACGTAATCTAAAGAAATTCTGTCATTGTGGTTAAGATAATTAACATATGAATATTTTTTAGAATCTTACCTGGTTTTCCGATTTCATGCTTTCATGAATAGTTTGTAATACCTGTAATAAAATGTAATTTCTGCCTTACAGCATTATACAGCGTCCAAAAGAAGAAAGTATATGGAGCAATGATGATTGAAGCTCAAAACCTACAAAGTTCAAAATCAAAGTAAGTTCTTGCTTTAGCTATAATATGAAATCCATTCAGTGTATTCTTTGTGCACAACTTATTCATTCTGGAGAGTGAATGAAACAGATGAAAAAGGGTGCAATATTTGTCTCTTTCTTTCCTGTAAACCTCTACTCTTTTTTTTTTTTTCCTTCTAGTCGCTCCACCATATTAGTGAGGCTCGACACAAACAACCACGACAGCCTGCGCTACAAGCCTGGTGACCATCTGGGCATCTTCCCTGGCAACCACGAGGACCTGGTAACAGCACTCATAGATAAACTGGAGGATGCTCCGCCTGTCAATCAAATCGTCAAAGTGGAGTTCCTGGAGGAGAGGAACACGGCATTAGGTGGGTGATGTTATTAGCAACGTCACGCCACTGTGTGAATGCAGGGGGCGTGTAACCAGGAGGCTTGCAGTTCAAAATGTGGGAACGAGGTGAAAATGGAAATGTTAATAAGATACAGTTTTTCTTGCCTGAATAGACTATAAAGTTACACTTGCAGAAGGAATCTATACTCTGAAATCTTTCAGTTTTGGCACTTGTGGTAACACTGGGTGATGCAACTAAGCGACAGATTAGATTTAAAACACTGCCTGACAAATTGAGCCATTTTTGAGGGTTTTGTTTCCTCTCTGGTGAGATGATATTTACCAGTGTGCAACAGCAACCATACAATGACTGTAAAGGGATTTTGTTACTCATTTATTCCTACACAGCAGTTTAGTATTTACAAACCAAATAGTTTTATATATGTTTCAATGTTTACAGAATTAATATAAAATAAAAATTAATGCCATCGCTACAGAAATTACAGTTGTTGACTAAAATTAGTAAATTAATATAAATATACACCAACCTATATAAGACTCTATTGACATTATTATTATTATTATTATTATTATTATTATAAATTATTAAAATTTATTAACACCAAGTTTTGTTATCAAAAGTTTCCACTTTTTAGACACTATTGAGGTTTATTAGATTTTCTAGCACTACATAATATGACTAAAACATTCTGTATTTATAAAACTTTACAAACCTAAAACGGATAGATCTTTATACATTTTGTGTTTAACACAGTGCATTTGTGTCAAATGATTAGATGCATAATCAGGCCAGTTTTAAAATACGATATTGTGCCTACATGAGGTTACCCCTCTAACCTCAACTATGCACTTTCTATCAACCAACTATGTGCATGGATTCAAACCATAAGCTGAAACCTTTAACTTCTTGTAGCATGGAGGGGATTTAAACTTGGCAAATGTAGAGAAACACGACAGAATAATTGGTTTTTAACATCGACTGGCTCAGCATGTGCAAATAAACTCGGCATATAAATATTTTCCACCAGGATTCATTTTAATGGCCCATTTTATGTGAAGTAGTTATACAGCAGATTTCAAAATAACATCGAGATATTATCTTATAACAAGATAAAACCTACTCCTTGATTAGAAAATAAAAACAATATCTTTGTAATTTTGAAGCCTTGTTGACTTAATGCAACCGTTAACATTTGAGTTGTGTACGTAGATCAAATTTGATCTTCCATGGTATTTGGTCTCATGTAACACAATGGCTGCAGTTTTAATATAAAAATAGAATGCTACGCAAACTTTTATATTCCCTTTTGGATGCACGCAACTACATTTTGCAAGTTGCTGTTGCTCAAAAACAAGCTAAAATAGTGGGTTGTTTTAGGAGAATAACTACAACCAATGTTTACATTCATGCATTGGTATAACTAATCTGAAATGACAATTTTTTTACTGTTTGTGTTTATGTGCAGGTGTTATAAGTAATTGGACCAATGAGACACGTATTCCTCCCTGCACTATCAACCAAGCTTTTCAGTACTTTCTGGACATCACCACTCCACCGACCCCTGTGCTGCTGCAGCAGTTTGCAGCTCTGGCAACCAATGACAAGCAGAAAAGAAAATTAGAAATCCTCAGTAAGGTACATTTAAATGGCATTTCATGGCTTTCCTCTTACAATCAACAATTATTGAGATATTAATAATTTTCACAGATTTGTGGCCACAAATGTAAAGGGTTCATTTAAAACCTTTTTATATTTTTTTCAATTTTTAGCTTAATACTTGCAAAAATGTGGCTTTGACATTTTCATTTAATCTTCCATTTGCATGAGCCCCTCTCCCTTGACCCTGCAAGGATAAGTGGGGATAGACAATGGATGAATGATTTTCAAATCTAACGTCTTTCATTCACCATGTGCCTAAGATTTAACAGTAAACATCACCTTTATTATGTTTGCTAAAGTATGGGAGATGGTTTTCAGTGTCTTAAAGGATATTTGATGCACTTTGCACGATTGAAAATGGGTACAGTAGGAGCTAACTGGAGCCAAATCAGAGCTGTTGATCGCTCTAACCCAGGAGTCCTCCCCCCATTGTGGTGCCTCCCACAAGTCACCCTCAATTTTTGTTGATGTGTGAAAAAGGCTGGAGGAGGCCAAGAAATGACTCATGCATAGAATCACTGTCACTAATGTGAGAGAGAAAGATGGAGGACTTCTAAATTTGTAAAATAAAATGGCACAGTACAGTCAGCATTGCAGATCATTTTTGATTTTTAGTTCCGATCTCAGATCTCTTAGCTGTGTTGCCAAAGGTTACCTATCTATCATCACTTAGGATGTCAGAATAAGACGATAAACTTGTTTCACAAGTGTGGCAGAAAGTTTAAACACTTTTTGGTTTGCAAAAGTCACTTTTGTAATGTTTAGAGCCCCCTAACTTCATCTGTTTTCAAGGTGAAAAAGGTCAGTCCTCAAGGTTCTTTGCAAAATTCACTTGCTGTTCAAAAACTGATTTAGACTCAGAATTGTGGATTCCACAGACGTCCTGATGAACCAGGTCTCTCATTAGTGGCTTGAAAACAAAACAATGTTCAATTTATTGCTTTCTTAGCCTGGAGGCAATGCCCCAAATTCATCACCACTAAAATACCAGTAACACAAAACAGTTGAGGTCTGAATGGTGACAAGCTCTGCTTGTTGCTGTTTCATACTTTTGATGCAGAAATGTTTAAGTGACTAAAAAAAGAAGAAATTCTTCTCTTTTTTTCTCAGCCTTTCACTGCAAATGCATTACATATATGCAAAAGACAGCAAGATAAATCAACGCATAAAAATTGTTATTTTGATGCAGTCTGTTTATCACACTGTTACGTTCTTGAAAACCCAGGGTTTGCAGGAGTATGAGGAGTGGAAGTGGTACAACAACCCTACACTAGTGGAGGTGCTGGATGAGTTCCCCTCCATCCAGATGCCATCGACTCTGCTGCTCACTCAGCTTCCCCTGCTGCAGCCTCGCTATTACTCCATCAGCTCTTCTCCTGATCTGTATTCAGGAGAGATTCACCTCACAGTGGCTGTGGTCTCTTATCGTACCAGAGGTGAGAATCCACCAGTACTTGAAAGTTGTGTATATGGTGAAAGCTTTTACATAGTTTAGGATTTTTTTATTTCCAAGTGGGTGAGGGTCCCAGAATGTCAATTGCATAATCTGGCCCTGCACATCATTCTTACAGACCTACATTTGCTGACAGCATCTTACATGGGTAATGCAGGAAATGGCTACAGATCAACCAATGTTTACTAGTATTTGCACTATTTTAGCACATTACTATGATTGGATGACCACTTGCTGTATTACAGTGATTTTTTCCCCCCTTCTGTAAGAAAAGATAAGAAATGGCTTTAGCCTTGTAGGTGTGCTAGGGCCACTCTTCTCCTGTTAGTGTGTGCACTTCAAATGAGTGGGAGGCAGGTTGGAGAGAAAAAGGTAAAGTGATTACTTGGTAATCATCTGTTTCAGGTGGGCAAGGACCTATCCATCACGGAGTATGCTCATCGTGGCTCAACAGGATAGAGAAAGGAGAAATGGTACCGTGTTTTGTCCGAAGGTAATGACTAAAATAAAAAGCATTCTTGTCAAAAACCTAGTGTAAAATTCATGCTTCTTTAAATTAAAAGAAAAAATAAAATTCTGACAAACCATCCTTCAGCCAACACTCCCTTCACTCCATTCTGGTGTAACTTTATCACTCCTATACAAAATCTTTTCCCAGTCATTATAGTGTTTAATAATTTTAATAAATTTAAATTCCACATGAAGATGTATTGTTGTTTTTTTTACAATTTAAAATAGTTTTTATTTTTACTAAATGAGGCTTGCAAGAATACCCAAAGCAAAGTCTGACTGACAAGTGCTTAGGAAGCTAACCTGTCTGATGATTACACAGTCTGCTTACTTTTCAAAATAAGAGTAAGCTTGGCACCAAATAAGCATATGTAGTTTTAGTGTGTGAGCAGCACTTAGGCCAAAGATATGACTTTCAACCGACATCACACTGCTGCCACGATTAAGGCCTTGATCTTCTTGTACAACTCCACTGCTTTCTGTACATGAACACACTGGGGTTATGTGATGAAATGTTTTTATCCTTTGTGTCATTGTAGCGCACCATCATTCCAACTTCCAAAAGACAACAAAGCACCATGTATCCTCGTGGGTCCAGGAACAGGCATTGCCCCTTTCAGAAGCTTCTGGCAACAAAGACTATACGACCTTGAGCAAAATGGTGGGCCATTTTTACCTGTTTGTTCAATCAGTAATTGAGAAGAATCTCACCACAACGTTCTGTGAAAGGCTTGTGAAAGTGTCATTGTAAATTTATTGGATTTTCAGATAATTGCTTTTCAGTGTTCTGTTTAAATCAAGTCATTTGCAATGACTCGGTTTGCATTGATTCTATTGCAATTTCATTTTTCATTTTTTGTCATCTCTAAGGGATTAAGTCTTGCCCCATGATCCTGGTGTTCGGTTGTCGACAGTCTGAGATGGATCACATTTACAAGGAAGAGACTCTCCAGGCCAAGAACAGAGAAGTGTTCAAAGATCTCTATGCTGCGTACTCCAGAGAACCTGGCAAACCAAAGGTAAAACCACCAATAGTCATTTGAAAGTAACTTGAGAGGTTTACTTCACTCTTACTTTGATTACTTTGACTGGCTAAACAATTCTTGATATCTATAAAGAATACAAATTAAATCTGCAGGTCATTTATTTTTATATGAATTATATGAACTGTATTTTTTAGCATTTTCAACATTTTGTTTATCTTTGTCACATGTTGAAGCGCAATTAACTTCCACATCACCCCCTTTTGGTTCTTACATTTTGTCTCTAACTACTCCAGAAATATGTACAAGATGTGCTGCGTGAGCATCTGTCTGAAACTGTGTACCAGTGCCTGAGGAAGGAAGGAGGGCACATCTATGTGTGTGGGGATGTAACAATGGCAGGAGATGTTCTGAAGACCATCCAGCAAATCATCAAGCAGCAAGGTCAAATGAGCATAGAAGATGCTGGATTCTACATCAGCAAGCTTAGGGTAAGAAGCTACTGCTCTATTCATTGTAATGGTCTATTACTGGAAATGCTGAATTGCACAAATGTTGAATTGCTTCTAATTGATGTCTAGTAGATTCTTTCCTGTCAAAATGTATCAAATAAGTCAAAATTCTGTAGATCTATACTTTTTGATAAAGTCACTTGCTATCCATTGGGTATTATTTTTCAGAATTTCTCACTGTAATTTTAGTGTCACTCTCCTACCTTCACTACCTTGTTTTTGCCAGGATGAAAACCGATATCATGAGGATATCTTTGGGGTCACTCTGCGCACCTATGAAGTCACCAATCGACTTCGCTCAGAGTCCATTGCCTACATTGAAGAGAACAAAAAGGACTCAGATGAGTAAGTGCCTTGGAAGTTTTACTTTTTCATTATTTTCAATTGTAAGAGTAAATGACTGATTTCACCAAAAAAATATTGAAAGTGGTTATTCTGATAAATTGCGAATTAAACTGGAGATATACGACTAAAGACCTGATGCCTCAATTACTGTCTCACAGATTTTATGTTCCGTTATTTCATAATTTAGTTCATTTCATTTAGTACTAAATAATTAAATATTTTACAAATTATAATATGTAGTATTCACTGCAATTACTTTTGACATATGTAGTGAATACTATATATATTCATATAGATGATAAAACTGACTCAGTAAATCTGCGCTGTAGGAAGTCAGTAGTTGATATGCAGCGAGTGACGGTTGTGCTCCATTAGTGACATGCTTTTACAATTGTTAAATAAATGGTAAATTGAATTTATACATCACTCTTCTAGTCACACTGACCACTTGAAGCACTTTACACTTGAGCCACATTTCCCAAGTCACTCTCAATAACATTCATACACCAACACACTTGGCAACTCAAGGTTGCAACAGGTAGGAGAGATATTGTTGCATTTCTACATAGACATAATTTCCTGAAGGACTGGTGTAGACATATATTATATTATATTATATTATATTATATTATATTATATTATATTATATTATATTATATTATATAGACACGTTATATCTCATCTGCTATGTGTAATTCAGCTGGACAAAGGTTTTGCCAACCAGTTGAGGGACAGCTGTTGAGTCACAATCACATAATTGAAAACTAGAAAGTTTTTATTGACAAGGATTCATTTGGTTTACACAGAAGCTACTTATTCTGTTTTTGAAATATTTAATAACATTTTGATTGCTGCAGAATCTCATGTTGTTGTTTTTAGCACTTGATTAAATCAGACAATAAAATGCAACTATGAGTTGATTCTTCACAAAAAATATTACTAAATTGTAAGGAAGCATTCAGCAAATGCAGGCTTATTCCATAAAATAGAATATGACTGAAAGGTTCCTTTGTCAGCAGTTCCGTCACCAAATGAAAGACGTTATGTCGATCAATTAGATTACGTATGTTTTAACATGTTTATATTTTGTAGTATGTTTAATACCTGCTAACAAATTATTTTCAAAAGGTACTATTAATCTGAGAAACCTGATCAGGACGTATATCCTAATTTATTGAATAAGACTGTCTGGCATTCACATGTAAGTCTCCTCCCGCCCCCATTTCCCACTCACCCTTGCATTACTACATGCTTCAAACCCCTAGAGGAAAGTTTGGCATTTAAGGATTATGAACCATATGAATGATGAAAAACTTAAGCAAATTTTAACAAAAAAAAGGAAAAGATGTATATTTTTTTTTCCCGTTTTTTAAATAATATTTTAATTGCTGACGTTCAGACGTCACAGTAGGTTTGTCTGGATTTCAGAAGATAAATCTACTAAGATGGATCTCAAACAATGAGATTAGCATTGCTATTCTCATAAGTCAACTCTGATCTGCATCCTTGGAGTTGTTTGACAGCAGCGTGTTGTCACTCCGACATCCGGATGAAAACAGAGCGGGTAGCCATAGAAACGTGTGGAGAGAGGCCTTTAAACTAACGGGATTAAAGTGAAAGCGGATGGCCCTGTTCCATTTCTGTTTTTGTTTCTGATGTTGTTTTTGCATGTTCAAGATTATACACTTCATATACCCTTTCCATGAGAGCTAAACAAGGGCCCTACATAGCCACTATGCCTCATTAAGCACCAACATAATGCATCACAGACGATGGTTCCTGTGTGGATTGTCACTTGAATTTCACATTTGGCCATCAAAGCCCCTGCTTGTTGGATGAGTAATGATTGTAACATCTTTGTTTTCATGTCTCTGTTTCTCTGTGTCTGTTTGTCTTTCTCCTTATTTTTCTTTCCTCTCTCAGGGTTTTCTGCTCATAGGTCGATGAATGGAGGCTTTGCTGAACACAACCAGTCTGAAGGACACGGCAACACTGGTTAAAGAATACTGTGCCAATTTTTGTACTGTAAAAAAAGGGTTTTGTTTCTTTTTTATATACCACTTAAACAGTTCTGTTGGGCTCTGCAACTTTGTCTGTAGCAAGTTGGACATGTTCTGTTCTGATATTGTTTTTGCTTGTTGATGATACTTCCAAAAATTTGCAAATTGATCATTATGATTCATAATGTGTGCATTTAGTGTAATGAACTGCCTCATTGTGAATGCATGACAAAGAAATTAATATAATCAAGAAATATAATATACTCTGTGTTATTGTTGCAGTTAAAAGGCTTTTATTGAGGTTATATATTTGCAAGAAAATGTGCACCATTGATTTAAAAAAAGTTCTGTATTAAATTTGTCAACTTTACATTTGGGAATGTGTAGGGACTGGTAAATCTGCTATATTTTTGGGGTTTTATTATCAATAAAGGCTTAAGAAGACAAGGTTAAGACAGTGAAGCATGTACAGGCATGTTGAGAGACAAAAACAAGAATAATTTATAAACAAGTTTGGTGTGTTGACAAATTAAAATTGTGAAAATTGTGATTTGGTCACAGCGTCAGTGAACGCATCTACTAATGTGCCACTGAGAGTTCATCAAAAGGCATCAGCTTCAGGGCAAGTGCTCTTTAGTGGGATGTTCATACTGTCATAACATTCATAACTTTTTTATGTCTCAGCTGGTGCTCTCCAAACAATAAAATCCAAGAGCTGCTCAGTTCTAAATTCAAACAGAAATATGTTTAAATCTTAAGAGCCTTGAACAAATTTAAATGTCTTTTAATGTTGTGTGAACTAGGGTACAACGTATCAAGCTTATAATTACAGTGAAGGCAATTTGTTTTATAAAGTACCCTTTAGAATTACAAATCAATAAAGTAATGCAAAACACGTAGGATCATGGCTTAAAAATGTTGGCATTTGTTGAAGGGTTCAATAGAGTGCTTTATGGAGAGGATGTCACAATCAAGATTTTTTTGTTTTATGATATTGATCCAAGTAATATAAGATTAAGTGTATGTTGATTCAGCATCTCGGATCCTTTTTACACAGAACTGATTTGCACACTGCATACCACAATTACGATAAAATTATCTCAATCAATGCATGCAAACTGTAGGCACTTCAGCAGCTCTGGAAGTTTGTTGACGTGCTTGAAAACACCAACTATATTCCTCTTGGTAGCCTCCTTTCCTCCATTGCTGGAATGTGTGAGTGTGAAACAGCCCACACATCCCCACACAACGTCTTACATAAATGTTTATATACTTGCATTATCACATGTTCACATATTGTGGGCATGGTCTTTGGCAGTTTCTCATATATTTACATCTTCTTGATTCACAAAAATGCTGGGCATGCAACATGGACTGTTCAGATCCATTCAAAATTCATCCAATGTGCTGTAAGGCTAAGCAGTAATATCAGGCAAACAAACCTCCAAAGTAGATATACAATGTAAAGCAAGTAGCTGTGATATGAGATGGTATATCTTATCATACCATACCAACTTTATTTATGAAGCACTTTTTATGGCAAGACCAAAGTGCTACACACAATCACAATCTTGTGATTATTTTTTTCTTTCCAGCATAAACGGCATCAACGATCATCATCTCCATCCTAAAACTATATTTCCCATCCTTGAAATAGTTTGGTCAGTTACCTATTTTGCTGTCTTTTTCTGGGATACTGCAGCCTCCTGGAAACATACCCCTTTTAGTTTCCTTTACTGTGTTGCTTTACCTTACTTGCTTGCAAAATTAGCTGAAAGAAGTTGGGAAGCGCCACAGCAGCTGCAAATATTTGTAGAGAGGCAGAGGTATGGAGCATTTACCAATGTCAAAGCTTAAGCAGCAAAAGAAAAACATCAGCTTTCAGGAATGGGGGGTGGAGTTATTTACTTTGCAGAACTTTAGTATAATCGAGACAATTTAGACAAGTTTGGCACATTTAATTATCTGATAAAATGCAGATAACATTTTGGTAATGGTGACTGAGATTGTTACTAAATAAAAGGCAGTTTGGTTTTAGTATAGAACAGGTACTGTAGAATAGATTCTCCATACCGAGAAAATCTGTTTCCACATTACCAAACCAGAAAACTCACCTCATGTGAACAGCTTTTAATTTTTTTACACTTTAGCTTTTGTACAGACCAAAAATTCAAAATGTAACATAATGAGCTTTAAATGTGCTTTTGGGAAGAATTCACTACTTTTTTTAAGAGTGCCAATTTATGTTTTTAAACTTTTTGCTGAGCTAATTGCATCCCAGCTGTAGCATTATATTTACTCAATTATCAGCAAGCTGGAGAGCATTTTCCCTCAATGCTGTTTTCTCAAGAATTAGCTGCCTCATAGCTAAACATTAAGGAAAGTAAATGATGCTGCCCTGATCATATCCGACAGCTGTCGACTTGCACATTCATCACCAATGAAGCTTTTAAAGAAAAATGCAGAAAATGCATTTGCAGCATCTTTACTTGTCTGCCTCTTGCCTTACATTACCTCTTTGCCAACATTTGGTACATTCATTCACTCATTCACTTGGCTTTTTGCATGTTTTCCTGTGGCTTAAGTGAGACCCCTCTCTCACTGGAAACTAAACCCGGTCTTGTTGTCAGCATGTGTACTTGCCTGCCTACTTGTGCTCCAAATTATCTCCTGTGCACATCTTTGAGTGGATGTAATCGAGCTTGATCTCAGGTATGTTTGTTCATTCCTCCTGTTGTTTCTTTCACTGTTCATTTAAAAACAATACAAAAAAAAAACAAAAACACAAATCTCAAACATGGACTTGACATTTGCACGAGCCTGCAAATTTGAGGTTGCAGATGGTGTTTTGGTAGCAGGAAACTGCCCACGTGGATTTTAGCGATGATCTCAGCAGGACAGTCCAATTGTTCTCCGTTCTAATTAAGGCTTCTGGTCAGAGAAAAGAGATCATCCCACACTGGCTTTGGTCATTTGCTGCTCTAGTCTGATTTGAATTTAAAAAATATTGTGCAAGCGCCAATAATTTTTTTTTTAAATCTTCTTTTATGACTCACTTTGCATTAACATGCTTTTTCTTTATCTTCTTAGTCCTGTGTATTAATTTCTGTATCTTCTACTCAAATTAACGATGGCATGATTAAAGGATTTAAACTGATCTCTCCATTTGCCCAGATTATTTCTGTCTTCCGAGTCAGCTCTTTTGTTAGCTGGGTGTTTCCCATTTATCCAGTTGTTGCTCATTTTGGATGAATATCTCCTCCCATTCCAGATAAATAATTTGCTTGGTCTCATTTAGTTGGAACAAGAGTTGTCTGTGACGTAACTCTTGCAACCAGAAAAGTAATACAAAATATTATAGAGAACACCATATCAATATTTTAAAAGAATGTAGTTTGAATATGTAAATGAAATCATGAAAATTGGTATGATTTAAAAAAAAGGTAAGGGAAATATGTATTTTCTCTCAGATTCTTTAGGTGCGAGGGTAAAGGAGCAATATTGACCGAAGAAATGCATGTTGTGGTCTTCTCTCTGTTGCTTGTACAAAACAAAATACTTCCCAGTCCTGTCATTTAGTTGATTTTAGAGAGGAAGCCCAGGGGGATGGAGGTGAGTTTCTTTCTGTGTTTTTTTTTTGCACATCTCTACAGCTATGAACAACTCTGATCCTATCAGTCTATGCTGTAAGGACTTTTTTGTTCTTCACTTCATTGAGGAAGTTCTGTTTTGTTGCATGGACTGCAAGGACTTTGCATTTACTTCTAAATAAAGAGAAACATTTACAGAATATGTCAACACATTTGCTTGAGGGTTTTTCTCTCGTTTAAAGGCAGTTTAAATCAGACCCAGTTAGAATGTTTATCCAGGTAAATGAGTCTGTTTATGCTTCATGCATTTGAGAGTAAAGGTCAGTTTTTGGGCTTCAAAATATTTTCTTTCACCATTTCCTTCTCCACTTCTCTTCTGGCCTCTACAAGTAATGGTTGCTGTGGCTCAGAGGGCTGATGATCAAAGTGGTATAGGAACCTGTCAACAAAACAAGAGTATTTGGAGTATTTTGTGCTAACCATGAAGAACTATGCTTTTAAATCCTACATCAAAGATTTGGGAAAATGTATGGTTTTATGCTTAAAGAATGCATGATTTGTATTGATTTCAATGCATCAAACACACTAGGTGAAAATCATGATTAAGGGGAAGAAGTTGTTGAAGCCTGGACGATGAAGCAGAAACAGAAGTCAAATCACAACATAGGAGGTAAGTGGTTAAACCTTTAATAAAGGAAATGTATTTTTTCTGAAAGCAGAGTGAGAGTCGAGGAATGTGAGTGTTGGAGTATTTCAAAGCCTTAACTAAGACGCTCCAGAGAAACTTTGAGAATTCAAAGCATGCTACAGACCTGCTGAAGCATAATAGGCTTTGGAACTGGAGGTCATAACGACCATCTCTGAGCACGTCTGAGCACTTTCTTTGCCTGAGGTGAGGAAATAAAAGCAGAAAAACAACCATCTCGTTTTAAATAAATTGCTCTTTTGACCTGTGCACTCATGAATTTATTCAACAGGGGGAACTGTGTCTCACTTCTGAAATCTCTTAATTACCCTTTTATATAGTCCAGACACAGGGCATCATATGATTAAAATGGAAAATACATTATAAAAGCAATACTCTTAACACCAAACTTGTGCCCATAACTTCCATAAACAAGCACTGAACAGGTTGAAACATTTAAAGCATGCTGACTCAAAGGATAGGTCAGGATTACTGAAATAAAATGAAATTATGTTAAAAGATTACAAGTGTGAAAGCTCCTTTTTATCCTGTCCAAATAATAATAAAGGATACAAATGCCACAAAAACCTTGTGTCTTTAATAGAAAACGCGTCTTCACTAGGTAGCAGTGAAATAACAGAGTTTTGCTCACAGTGTCCATTTAAATATATTGTATTATCACAAAACTTTGACGTGGTTTTTCCTACTGGACACTTTAGATTCCTTGAACCATGTGCAGTTCACACTCCAACCAGTGGATGACTATAACACTTCTAAAGTAAGTAATCAGTTTTCAGTTGTATGTTATCAAAATTACATACAACTGAAATGAAAAACAGAGACACAACTGAAATGAAATGAAAGCTCAACAGGTGAGTTATTTTCTCTTATCTGCAACTTAATTGTCCATGAATGCACCCTTTCTTATCTCCAAACAAGTGTGTTAAGATTTTCCCCATCGTTGTTGTTTTTTTTTTTTTAAGTATGCTATTGGTTGGTTGGCTTTGACTCGAGACCTGTTACACAGTCTTTTAGTTTATATTCAGCCTTGACTGTATCTTTTGCATTTTATTGTGTTTTGGAAAAACCAGTGCACTGTTTAACACATTTCAGACTCAAGTTCTACATTAAAAATTATGCAATATATTGTACAAGGTTGCATAACGGCACAATAAAATAATGCATACCTATTGATTGACTCGGTTGTCCAGAATTAAGTTACCAGTTTCATTCTGCTGGCGGCAAATCTATCATTTTTTCCTCACTTAGGCTGCCAGCAAAGCAAGGTTTAACGAGTCACGATGTGCTGCTTTCTCGTTCTCCATCCAGCAAATATCGAGCCAGACAGAGGTTGATGTGCGTGGGCCAAAAGACCAACGCTCAAGCCCTGACGAAAGCAGTCGAGACGGAGGCGAAAAAGAAAGTGGAGAGATGGAGGAAGGAGGGGAACTTCCAGGAAAAAAGACTGGCATCTGATGAGGACTTTGAAACAGGCCTGGACCTTAGTGGCAAAACTAAATATGGCTTACAATAAGATAAATAGAGTGAGACACCTATTAGATTTCACAGTCGGAGGTGTGATGTTCATTATTAGAAAACACTTGTTTTGTGGCTTGTTTAATTCAACTGCTTCGCCCTGGTTTTACATCTTTTGATAGTGCTTTTTTTCATCATGATCTTAACAGGCATTGATAAGGAAAAACCCTCCTGTCTTCCCATCTGTTCCATCTTTTCTCACAGAAACCCCTCCATGTGCCCACCCACGCGTGCAGAATCCTTTTCTGCATAATGACTTCATCTCACTCTTTGTGTCAGACTCTCTTTTTACCACAAGCAAAAACTGGCTGGTATGAATGAAATTAATGTGATCTCTTGTCAGGGTAAAATCAACCAAATGGCAGATTTTGAAATCAGAATCAAAAGATTCTTCACTGCTAGCAAAGTGGCTCAAATTTTAAATTCAGAAACCCACGTACTTTATTCATGCTGCAGGTAAGGAGGAAACAAATGATTTGAAAGGGAAGACGTGCCACATAAAGGCTTACAAGACTTTAAAAATGGAGCCTGTCATTCCTTTCCTGAAAGGCATTGGAAATGGTGAGACGTCTTTGATGCATTGGGGCTGGGACCTCAGGCACTGGAATCAAGTTGATAAGAAAGGTAGGCAGAAAGATAGGCATAACTTAGTGGAAGTTTATAACGTGTTTTCAGTTAATTGGAGGCAAGTGGATTGATGGCAAGGAGAAAGGAGTAGGATTGAGCCAGTTTCCATCACTTTAAAAACAACACCAAAACACATTCTCTGCTTAGATCTTATAAACCCTCCAAAGAAAATAACATGTTTTGGTTGAATCCTTCAGTATTAGATTTGAGTCCATGTGAGCCCAAAGGTAAAGCAAAATCATACATAGCGCATGCGCCATCACAGAATCCATGCCTCTTTTCGTTGAAGGATTCATTAATTTATGAGAGTATTCTTCTATAAGGTGACAGGTGTTAATAAGAAAAGTCCAGAAATTTTAAATTATGAACACAACAAAGCTTTGTATCAAAACAGAATAAAAATAGTTCAGGTTAAGATTAAAAATAAACCAGGCTCTGGAAGTCCCAATAGATCAAACTGGTTAACTTTTCCCTCTTCCATTTTTTTATTTCAAAGAAAAACTGTTCTATGTGTCTTTTAGCATTTAATTTCGTCTTCAGGTAGAAATAAGCAGCAGGGTTCTCTTGAGATTCCCCCGCCACTGAATATTGACATCCTTTTTAGATCCAGAATCTCCCACAATACTTTTGATTTTTGTCTGTTTGTTCTCAAGCCAACCTGCTTTGCAGAATTTGGTTGAATGTGGGCAGGCAGTTTATCCCTGTATGCTTCAGAAATCATCCAGCTGCTGCTTTCTTCTCTAAGATCAAAATAAACACCAATGCATTAGAAAATTGTGACTCCCCATTCCATTGAACTCCTTCCCTATCACTTCTATTTTAAGTTGATATCAAATAGCCTCATCTGAAAAATGCTGTTACTGATATGAGGTAATTATTGGCAATTTTCAGTCAAGTTTAACCTGCCTTTTTGCTTCTGATTACCATGTTTTGATTTTGTAAATGGTCTTCCCAAAGCTTCTGTTCATAGAGTATTTTTGATGCCAATCTTCCAGATTATTTTCTACTTATCTTGAAGTTGCTTTACCATGAATCTTTTCATTGACCGATGTCCTTCTTTTGTCCTGGTTAATTTATCACTGAACTGGCTTCTTCTCAGTAACAGCAACACATTTAGTTAAGTCAATAGTTAGAAATAGAGCTGCAACACTTCAGTTCAGTTCCAGATCTTTTACCCAAGATGGTAAGAGTAAAGGTTTTTCAGTGGATGTAAAATACAATACATATCTTGCAAGAAGTAAGACAGCTGTCAGAAAGCAAAAAGAAAGGATGCCATGTACTGATGAATTAATATCATCCATAAAAGGACAGGACAGTGTTACTTATTATTTCTAAAAGCTAAAATCATCTCTCAGCAGGACTGTTAACCCGCTTCAGAAGTCTGGATTTCTTCTTTAGTGGTTGGTTGTAGCCAAAGCTGTGGGTTTTAATTTGCAAGTAAAATGAGCAGGCTAGCAAGGCTTTCTGTTCTTGCTTTATGTTTAGATTCTTCATTTATATTCATCATGATTCCTCGCCGGTTGGCAACTGATGGAAAATGATCCATTGATTTTAGGAATATTGAGTCCTTAATACACATCAGCAGAAACTACAGGTAAATGCTATATGCCTGTTTGAAGCTGCTGCTGCCACAATCAGTGCATCAAGAGGAAATGATTGGGCACATTTTAGCTTTTAAATCAACTGTTCATATTTGTGTGGTTATCACAACAAATAAAA